TTGCCCTTGCCTTGGGTGAGTCACGGTTTCATTGTCCCTCTGTCTTGACCTGGATCGGGAGCAAGTGTTGGCTGGTGGGGTACATTGTTAGTTCATGAGCTTGTTTATACAGTGTTCTGAGGTCTGCCTTCGCATTCATGTAGCCCAGGCTGTGTCAGCTTACTTTTAGGTCTACCATAATGATTCTAGTGCCTGGGTGTCCTGCTTGGTTTACTATTCAGGCCCTGGAAATCCCCTACGGATTCGGTTGGCTTATGGATATTCTATCTGGGCCTGTATGTGCCTTGTGTGAGTTGGAGGGGTGTTCCTCATCTGTGCCCTGTGTTCCTCATCTGTGCCACAGGGCACAGATGAGCTTACCCGCCGGGTCAGGTGTGGCTTTGTCAGCTGTTCTGGTTCTTTCGGGGCCGTCCCTTCCGTCTCTCTCCCGATTGCTGGGTTCTGCCTCCGGGGGCCTTGCGCCAATTGCTGCGTCACTGGCTTCCTCTTTGGGTTTTTCGGGGTTCAGTGCCCTGGCGCCTCTCCGAGCCCTCGCTCGAATTGTTCACGGACGCGTCGTCTCTTGGCTGGGGGTTTTGTGACCAGTGCTCATCAGTCTGGCCAGGAGCAATGGGTTCCATCCTGCCGTCGGGTCCACAGTATGGTGCATAAGTTCGTGGCGGTGTGGTTGTCGCTCTGGAGGGTTCCGGTTGCCTGCAGATCGACGACTCGGCTCCATTCGGGCTGCTCCCCGGTGGTTCATTGTCTGAACCGAGGGGGTTCTCTGCAGTCCTTGCCTCTTTGAGGCTGGTCGCTTCAGGTGACTTGTCTGCTGATTTCTTGGGGTTTGGCTCTCCTGGCTGTTCACGTTCGGGGAGTGTCCAATGTCCTGGCGGATGACCTGTCTCGGTTCATTTTCCCGTCCACGGAATGGATGTTCGACGCCGACTCCTTCCATTGGCTCTGCCACACGTTCGGGCTCACAGAGGTGGACCTCTTTGCGTTTGATTGGTCGCAGGCCTTCCGTTGTTTGTGGCTCCTTTCCCTGGTTGCGAGACTATCGGGGTCGACGTCTTCAGGCAGGACTGGTTGATTTGGGGTTACCTATACCTCTTTCCTCCGGTTTCGCTGTTGCTCCCGGTCCTAGCTCACTTGGAAACTTACCAGGGAAGTCCTCCTGGGTCCTTGGTGGCTGGCCCAGCCTTGGTTTCAGGTGCTGCTTGCTCGGTGTCTGAACCTGGAGAATTTCCCACGACTCCGCCTATTTCAACAGATTGGTCCAGTCTGTTACAAGGCTGGTTTGATCTTCTTCTCGAGTCTTTGTGTCTTTCATTTCTGACTCAAGTCTATCACCACTTGTATGGTGATAGGTGGTTTCTTTGATGGTGTCTCACCTGCGGGCTTTGTCTTGACGACAGTACAAAGTTTCTTGGGGGTCCTTCAGGTTTTTTCTGACCCTTCGTCACATTACTTCTCTTTCTGTTCAGGTTGTTTTGTCCTTTCTTTCCTGGTTGTTTCAGGACCGTCATCTTATGCCGAACATTATCGCATCATATTGTGTGGCATTGGCGGACCCACTGCAGCTGGTGTTCGGTGTTGATGTTACATCGGAGCCATTCCTTAAGCTGTCTCGGTGCATTTCACCTCCAGCCTGCTCATGTGCAGCTCGAGCCATCCTGGTCTTTGAATCAGGTGCTCTCCTTTCTCTCTCCCCCCCCCCCCCCGAGTTTGTGGTGGCCCCTTCGGTTCCAGAGTGTTTGACGAAGGCTCTTTCCCTGTTGGCATTGGCCTCTGGGGGTTGGGTTGGGGTGCTTGATGCTCTCCTCTCAGTCACAGGTGTCTTCTCTTTTGGGTTAGGTGATTGTTTTGTTCGGCTACTGTCGTCTCCTTTTCTGGCAAAGAATGAGACTGCTGCTTTCCAGAGGGGCCTGTGGATTGGTTGTTGATGCTTGGTTGGTGAGGCCGGGGGTGTATCGTGTGTTGTGTCCGGTTGCAGCTTTGTGCCGTTATTTGCCTCAGTGACCGGGGACGCGCTTTGGGTTGACTCGGTTTCCCTTCTTCCCTGTTCCCGGATGCGGGTCTCCCATGTCGTCCACAGTGTTATTCGGTTTATCCCCACGCCCATGACATTCATAAGTATACTTGCACTTGCTGCTGTTTTCGGTAACATATCTTGGGCTGACATTCGGGTGCAGGGCTTTTTGGAGATTAAACTAGGTCCTGGCCGCTCGCTACCTGGTCAGTGTCCCTGTGCCTGGTCGGGCCTGTGTTGCATTAGGTCGGCAGTTGCAGCCAGTTGTCTCGACTTTGCGTTGAGATATGAGGAACACCTGCCACCCGGGTGAGTTCTTTTTGTGTTTTTCTCTTTGGGGAAGTAGCTCCAGGGAGCCAAAGGGGCTTCCCCCAAAAACCAGCATTGAATGTAATAAAACGCCATTTTCTGGATAAGACCTGAAGACTCCCCGTCATCCCTCCCTCCCTCTGGTCAGCGGTTTCTTTTTGCGTGTTTTGACATCCAGCCTAAGAACTGGTAGACTTGGGTAGCCGGCAGAGGGTCTGGGTCTTCCCCTTCCCCCTCCCGGGGAGGGGGGGTTGCACAGATGGCGCTTGTTTGTAACGAGATGGCGTCATGCTTGTTTGCTTGTTTTTCTTCTTGGGGAGTTTGATCCACTTGTTTGGCTTTGGTAGCAATTCTTAACCAGAATATGGGGGGGCCTTTCTTTCTGGGTGCCCAACCTGGTCGATGGCAAACATGGAGTACTTCTAAATTTCATATAAGGTGTCTCTATAGACCACTGCTTCTTGCGCCTCTCTGAGGCAGCCAGGTTCTGGCTCGTTGGTGCCCGGTAGGCCTAGACCTCCATGTACATTGACTAATGCCCAAAGCTAATACTCTGTCTCAGCCCAGATAGCTCAGGAGAGCTTCCAGGTCTCACCCAGAAAATGGCATTTAATTACATTCAGTGCTTTTTTTTTTTTTTTTTTTTGGTCAAGAGATATGACAATGTAGGGATACCTCTCTTGATATCAACAACGATCAAAATCCATCAAGTTTTAATTTCTGTATTCTTGATTAAGAGAAACATTTTCAAAGTATGGACTATTATCTGGTAAATGTTTCCCATTTTCTATCCCAGTACAGTACAGTATCTCATATTCTTCATCATGAACTCAGCACGTCACTGAAACTAGAAAAATTACTAACATCTTGGTTTAACAATGTTCAATAATTTTATTGTTTTGTTTATTTAAAATCATAATAAAAATCTTTTTTACTTGTTGCTTCACTTGGTGGCACAATTCTGGGGTGAGTAAAAAGGTGTCAAAATAGATAAATAATAATGAAGTGTGTCACTTTCCTAAATTAGATTTAAAGATATATGAAAGGATTATTATTGAATCACAGGTCCTGAATAGTTATATGTATAATATTGTGTATTTAAATTAAATAAAATGGTATTTGAACACCTGGTAATAAATTCAACTAGTTATCTGGATTCATCTGTGAGTATTCATGTAATAATGTGTTTACATATAGAGGTTCCAGATTCATCCTCTAGATGGTAGATTTTTCTTTTTTTAAGTGCCTTAAATGTACAGAAGTTGAATCCAATATTATCATTTGTGTTACAAAAATTTGCCTTCTATCCATTTAGAGATATTTAAGAAATTACAAACAAATGGCATCCATGTGTGTTTTGGCATTTCTTAAACATGCAGAGTTGACGATCAGATGATTCTGCAGCATTTTTGTGCATACTTCCAATATTTGAAAATGTAAAAATAACCTTTGAGGTTCATGTTTGATTGTGTCAAAACCACCTTGCTACTTAAAATATACATTGACCTCCAATTGTTAATAAAGCTGATTTGCTATCTGAAGCATTGGTTTGCCTACAAGAAGTCTGAGGACAGTAAGTAATTCACAAAAATCTTAAAAAATAACTTTATAGGTGTGAGTTGGAGTCAAATTTTCATTATGTATTCAGTTTATCATCATACTTTCCTGCAGGTGGGACCACACATCAATGGTTTATCTAGTTAGATTAGCAATCTTCTAGATGTTAATACTGTACAGCTTAGCTTGGCTAAAGGTATCTCTTGGAATTTGCACTTCATACTGATAAGTATCTTATTATTAGCAAACTACTCTAACAACCTACATCTCTCTCTGTAATTGAGTACAAAGTAATCCAAGTATTTAAACATAATAATTACAAATGGTCAGGAAATTTTCAAATATTTATTTTAAAATTGTATAATATGCAGAATCCTAACAAGATACTGCATCCACACTATTTAGCATAGTGAGTAAATGAGCACCGGCACACACTAGCATTCATGTACAGCAGCATCCCAATGCTCCTCAGAAAATGTCTAATGCAGTATAATCATAAAAAAAAAATCACTCTTGCAGATTATTTTCACCGAGTTGTGGCTTAACCACATTCTCCCAAATTCAATTAAATAACATTTATTTACATTAAAGTCTCTTAGCTAATTATAACTCGATTAACCCTGCAGGGCACAGCTAGTTATATTCCTCTTTCCTGTCTTGAACCTTCTGACCATTGCTCTAACATTTATACATGTTAAAGTTTTTATCTATTCCAGTAATCTGCATCTCCTGGCTCCACTTGCTAGAACAATCCTTTGTGGGTGAATTCCTTATTAGGTCCATATAGATGCAATCCACCCAACCATCTCTTCCTTCTTTCTCTCTCGTCATCTCTCATTGACTTGATTATACAAAAACTAAATACTGTACTGCAAGTTTAATGCAACCCGTTCTCGCACTTGCTTACAGTCAATATTGGCTTATTTAATAAGTGCATATGTGACATACTAATTGATTGTGAATATTTTAGTTTACCTTGAAAAACGGTTTATCATCTTGTCCTAATGCCAGATTACCAGTCTTTTACCCTGACATGGCTTACAAAGTCATCTTTCCAATGGAGGGGGTCTTGCATATGCTCTGTATATATAATATGAATAATGTATCAATTTTTTTTAAATAGATGTGGTGCCTACGCCAATACCAACACCTCCAGTCTGTGGTGTCAACAAAGCAACTTGTATGAATGGTCAGTGCATTGATAAGGACAAAGTATGTGATGGAACCTTTGATTGCACTGATGCTTCGGATGAAATGCGATGCAGTAAGTTTTATTTGTATCAGAATTCATTATAATTGGAAATATAAATAATTTTTGCTAAATTATTAAAACAGCATTACAGTTATTCCTTAGAACATTTGAGATTCTTTAAAAAAATAATTATTTATATAATTGGCAGTGGCTTTCAAGATGTTTTAATTTAAATTCTCCTATTTGAGCCTGCATTTATGCAGTCTTGTTATAAACATTTCTTTCTTTTTTATATGTAAAAATACATGAATTTTGCCATATCACTTATATTGTTGATTAGACAGACTTCCTGGCTGTGAAAGGGGGTCTCTCTTTCCCTTCTCCCTCTCTCCTACTTCCCCAGAAAATACCACAGTATATTATACACAAATTATATCCCTGGCAAATTCCGAATCCTTTTTGTCTAATGACAAATCCTTTTTCTTTGAAGTAAATAAAAAACCTTTTCAAAGTGCTTAAAGTTGTTGAACTATCATTTACAATACTGTACTATATTGTCAAAATATTGTGATTACTTTTTCCTCTTTCAGATCCTTTGGGTTGTGAACCAAATGAATTCCAGTGTGATAATAAACGTTGTGTTCTCAAAACATGGTTGTGTGACTCAGATGATGATTGTGGGGATGGATCAGATGAGACAGATTGTGCTACAAATCCACCTGGTAAGTGAACATTTTTGTTTACAAAATTTGAAGAAAAAAATTATAGCCATTTATATATTAATATAGAGGAGGGGAGCATTTTAATTGCTACCTAACCTATCCAGAATTTATTCTATTATTAGCGTAACTACAAACTGAACAAATCAAGTTATTTGATGTTTAAGATTTTCTGTCTTCATTTTAGCCTTAAAATGATGTACATCAGAAGTACCACAGCATGACTTGCTTGTCTTTGCTCCCAGTGATGTCTTGTATATTTGGCAAGAAAAGATTGGATATGTGAATGTTGTTGTTGAGCACATGTATAACTGAATTTTCTTTGGGCTTCTCTGTGGGGGTTTAATTTATCATAAAACATTACTGTACATAATTAATAGAAGGATCTTTAAGTCAACATAAATTATTATTATCATTATTATCACCCCATTTCCAAATGTCATGTGGTAGGGATTGATGCAAATGTTAGGAGAAAAGAGGGAGCAGTAGAATGGAAAAAGATTAAAGATATTTTAAAAATAAGTAGTTTATTTATATTGTATCATGAACAATGCATATCATTAAGTTTAACAAGCACCACTTAACACACTTAAGTGTGTTAAGTGGTGCTTGTCCAACTTGAGCAAATCATCCAGAGAAGCACCCTGCTATTTTATTGGACCAGGCATATAATGAGAAGTGCACTTAACCTGGTTTTAGGAAGCGAGTTGTCATATTTAACAAAATATTTACAATAAAATATGTTTACAAACTATATCTAGCTTTGTTTTGAGTCATGTCTCAAGCATTGTGCACATTCAATCCCGCATTATGAAACATGGATGAAAACATGGGTGAAAAATTTTCTGACATAGAAATATGAGGGCAGTGATCAGAGGCAATGTATCGGACTGGAGAAATGTCACAAGCGGAGTACCACAGGGTTCAGTTCTTGCACCGGTGATGTTCATTGTCTACATAAATGATCTACCAGTTGGAATACAGAATTATATGAATATGTTTGATGATGATGTTAATATAATAGGAAGGATAAGAAACCTAGATGATTGTCATGCCCTGCAAGAAGACCTGGACAAAATAAGTATATGGAGCACCACTTGGCAAATGGAATTTAATGTGAATAAGTGCCATGTTATGGAATGTGGAAAAGGAGAACATAGACCCCCACACAACCTATGAATTATGTGAGAAATCTTTAAAGAATTCTGATTAAGAAAAAGATCTAGGGGTGGTTCTAGATAGTTTTCTATCACCTGAGGACCACATAAAGAAAGTTGTCATGCTTTCTAACTTCAGAGTTGCTTTTAAATACATGGATGGAGATATACTAAAGAAATTGTTCACAACTTTTGTTAGGCCAAAGCTAGAATATGCAGCGGTTGTGTGGTGCCCATATCTTAAGAAGCATATCAACAAACTGGAAAAGGTGCAAAGACATGCTACTAAGTGGCTCCCAGAACTGAAGGGCAAGAGCTACGAGGAGAGGTTAGAGGCATTAAATATGCCAAAACTGGAAGACAGAAGAAACAGAGGTGATATGATCACTACATACAAAATAGTAACAGGAATTGGTAAAATCGATAGGGAAGATTTCCTGTGACCTGGAACTTCAAGAACAAGAGGTCATAGATTTAAACTAACTAAACAAAGATGCCGAAGAAATATAAGAAAATTCACTTTCGCAAATAGTGGTAGACCTTTGAAACAAGTTAAGTGAGAATGTGGTGGAGGCCAAAACCGTCAGTAGTTTCAAAGCGTTATATGACAGTGCTGGGTAGATGGGACACCACGAGCATAGCTCTCATTCTGTAACTACAAATAGGTAATTACACTTAGGTAATTAACAACATCTGCCCATCCTCTTGGCATTGAACAAGACCAGATCATCATGGTACAGTCAGCACTCTTTGAAATATGCCAAATATGACTTTCTACATAGTTTCATTCATTTTTCATTCTTCACTAAATATTATCTTTTCAGGTTCATGCCATACCAGCATCTTGATTATGTTCATATGAACATCTAGATACATAGCTTAAATTAAGTTAAATTAAGGAATGTTCTTTTTCTTAATTAGGCTTGGTTACAAAAAAAAAAAAAAATGCTAATCTAATTTTTGTTGCTCCAGGATCAGCTTGCAGATACAATGAATTCACTTGTAAGAATGGTAACCAGTGCATCCCTAAATCTTTCCACTGTGATGGAGATGTTGATTGTCAAGATGGGACTGATGAAGTGGGATGCAGTCGACCCAGAATTGTTATTCCCCCTCCACGTAACAAGCTGGTACAAGTTTCAGAGACATTTACTTTAACATGTACCGCTGATGGTATTCCCATACCAACTGTTATTTGGCGCCTTAACTGGGGTCATGTTCCAGCCAAATGTAAAATGACAAGGTTGGTATTGTAATCTTTATTTGTACTTCAACAATGTAATCAATTTAATTACTGTATTAGTTACTAAGATTTCAGTTTTAATTGATTTTCATTTAAAGTATTTAAATTAAATAATGATTTAATTTGCTGTGCCTGGTGACAGTTCTTCACTACTAACTTTTTGCCACCACTAATTTTGTGGTGGCAAAAATTATTGCCACCACAAAAAAATTAAAAAAAAAAAAAACACCAAAATTTGTGGTGGTGGTGGGTTGATCCTGTTTCCTTGGTTTGCTTTCCAAAGCTTGTGTTTCTCACATTATCCGCAGTGTCAGGAAGTCCAGCCACCTGAGGTCAACCCTCATGCCCATCATGTTCATAAAAGTGCTAACACGCTCACTCTAGTTTCGAAACATTCAATTGTATGTTTATATTGTTTGGGGGCATAACAAAAATTGAACAAGTAACCATATACCTAACCTGTCTTTGGCCTAAATAAGCAATCCTAGGCCTAACATATGCAGTTTTATGCCTAGTTTACTACATACGTGAACTATACTATAAGAAAAGTTAAATTTGATTGTTGCTTCTTTCTTAGGCCCTCTTCAAAATTAATAGTACAAAACATGGACTATTATTTTAGTGCAACAGTCCATATATTGTACTTCCAGCCATAGTAGCTATAGGATCTTTAATTTTTGGATGACACTGAATGAGTGTCATCCAAAAATGGCACTCATCAAATGCAAAATGAGTGTCATTTTGCATTTGATCTCATCTAATTGCTCTAATCTTGGTAGGCTACATACTCATTAGGAATTTACAATACAAAATATTGTCTAAGAAACAAATCCACTATATGAAACTTTTATTCATGTTTATAAACAAGTATGATAAATTTAAAGCCGAGGTAAATAGCGGCCAAAACAGACTAACGTGAAAATGTATTTAATTTGAAACATCAAATACAAATTATATTTTCTTTTCTTCTAGTGTGGGGGGCAAAGGTGTGCTAGTTTGTCCATCAGCTCAACATACAGACCAAGGTGCATACTCTTGTGAAGCTATCAATAGTCGTGGATCCGTATTTGCTCAACCAGACTGCATTGTGCAAATAGAAGGTGGATTGCCACCCGTGTGCCAGCCACCACAGTTTAATGCAGCAGCTGTTAATCCCCAGGACTGTCTCACATGCTTCTGCTTTGGAGCCACAGATCAATGTTACTCCACTGACAGATACATCACACAGGTATTTGTTTTCAAATTTATTTTGTACACGAGTTCATTAGTGCACAGTTGTTTTACTGTATTATCAAGGGAATACATAATGCTTTCCACTTTAATATGCAACTGTTAAAATAAGAAAATTATTATTAACCCTTAAAGTGTGGTTATTGTCAAACGTTGATTTATAGTGCAATGCGGTTACCATTATGTGTAGATTTTATATAGTACTTACTGGTTTTTATACCTGATGCTAACATATCCATACAGAGCGATAATAGCTCTGTATGGATATAGTGGAGCTTACTAGTTTGAAAAAAAATGAAAAACCTATGAAAAACCCTGCTATCATTTCATGATTCCTTACTGTGTAGATCCAGTTATCATTGCGTATGTTAATGTGCCAAAGTGGCAAGTGTCATGGTGTACAATTCCATTATAGTTATATGATTTTCTGGGGGAAGCCCTTTCGGCTCCCCGGAGCTTATTCAGGCTGATATGCTAATGTCAAACTTTGGCATCAGTCATGTGTATGGAGTTCTGTGGGGCCTACCGGGGACCACGAGCCAGAACCTGGTCTCCTCAGATGAGGCATGGTGAGCAATGGCCTATAAAAACCCCCGTGTGGTTGGAAGCATTCTATGTCTGCCATCGACCGGGTCAGGCACCCAGAAAGGTAAGCATCCCAAAACAAACCCCTATTGGTGAAAATTGCTACCAAAAGCCAAACAAGTGGATAGAACTCCCCTAAAAGATACAAGCAAACAAGCATGATGTCACACATCGCCGCACCGCTGTCTGCGCAGCTTTCCCTGCCCCGGGAGGAGGAAGTGGGAGCCCCAGACCCTCACTTCGGCTATCCATCCTTCAGTTCTAAGGCTGATGCTAGAGGCAGAGGTTGCATGCTCTGGCTCCAGTGATTTTCCAGTACTGTGCTTAGAGTGTGGTGGCTGTCTTCCAGGGGTGCGAGAGCAAGGAGTTATTCTACAGTACAGTACTCGGGCTGCATGCGCCTAGGGTTACCTTCCCTAGGTGCCCTGTAAGTACCGGTACTGCCTTTGGGGCTTGTGGCTACCTTCCACAAGTTCCTTGGATCCTGCCTCTGCTGGGCTGTTTAACTGCTCGATTTTTTGGCTGCCCTTTGGGTGCTTGGGTGTTTTGTCTCCCTTGTTTACCATATGGTAAGAAGCAGTTTGCGCTGGTACAGGGCGCAGCTTGTTTTCACCATTCATAGCGGCTGGCTCTGTTCCTTTGGGTACATTGTCCTCTTGCAGGGTTTTCTTTTTCTTTTTGTTTGTGCCTTGTGGGGGGAGGGGGATGTCTACCTTGCTTGCCCCTTGGTGACTGACTTAATATGGTTTTCTTCTGATGGTGCCCCCTGCTAGGTCCCTGTGAGTGTACACGTCCCTGAGGTTCAGATTTAGAAATTTGCTTGGTAGCTTTAGGCGCCAGTTAGTAGTACCCTGCCTGGGATTTCCTGAGTGTAAGTTCCGTCTCAGGACCCTGGAAAACCCCATGTGGGTGTGGGTCCGTTGAATGTGACTCCAGAGTCCCCCTTTGCTTCATGCGAGTTTGAGGGTTGCTCGGTACCCTTGTCTCAGGGTGACTCTCACTGTTTATGCCTCCGTCACGCTGCCTGTTGGGTCGGTGACACTTTCGACCCAGCGTCCTACGAGTTCTGTTGCTTGCTGGTGACTCAGTTTACCCAGTTTAATGATGATCTTCTACAGTTACAGGCAGTGCAGGCGTTACATGTGCGCTTTAGGTTGTTGCAACGAGCTCAGTTGGTTTCTCACCCTGATGCCCCAAGGCTGCCCCATTTTGCTTATAGAGACCCGAACTTGGGGGTGGGGGTTCCTTCGACCTTGGTTCATTTCGCAACCCACCACCCCTCCATTCCCGTCCTTTCCCTGTTGTGGTTCGTTCTGGTCCCCACACCCTTGCTTCCGGCCCCGAAACATCTGTGGGTTTTGGAGTTGGGGCAGGGTTTAGATGGTCTTGAGACTCGGGCAGTCTCGGGGGATGCCCCTTCCAGTGTGGCGACGGAGGCATTCGAGTCTGATCTCCTGGCCGAAGCCTTCGGGTCTGAACAGTGGGGCCCCCTTCTGTCTGGCTTACTCAGTTGCGCTGACCTTTTCTTTAGAGGCCGGTGCTCAGGGGAATGACTCGGCCCCGGGTCCTGCGGAGGAGGATCCTGGGGCGGGGAAGGGGCTGACTTGGGGGCCTTGGGCCCCGCTGGACCCTGCCTGGGTTTTTCTGCCCTCTGAGCGGGGTTTATTGTTACAAGGAGTGGGTTTCTCTTTTCCCCTCCCCCCTCTGCATACGAGTTGGATTTGGTGTCTGCCCCTCCCCGGATTCGGTTCAGTGTTTCCCTCGGTGCGTCAGTTCCGTCTTTCCGGAGATTTTAGGCTTCAGGCATCCAACTGTCTGCGGTGAGGACAGCCCTTGCGGCTTACCTCCTGCGTGACCTGGATTAAGCCTCGGTGATGGATCCTTCATCTTTCAGGTTTGGGATTTCATTCCCTTTCTGGGTCCGTTATGAGGTTCCGGAGTCTTGTGTGGACTTTTAACAGTGTATCTAGAGTTACATGGGCCTAGTGTTAATGTCTCTAGGGGTTACTTATGTTGCGCTTGCTTGGTAAGTGATTCTTTTTTTTTTTTGTGGGGGAGGGGGCCCTCTGATAGGCCATTGTCTTGTAATTACCCAAGTGAAATTACCTAAGTGTAGTTACAGGATGAGAGCTATGCTCGTGGTGTCCCGTCTCCCCAGCACTCTGTCATATAACACTTTGAAATTACTGACGGTCTTGGCCTTCACCACCTTCCCACCTAACTTGTTCCAACCGTCTACCACTCTGTTTACAAAAGTGAATTTTCTTATATTTCTGCGGCAGCTTTGTTTCGTGAGTTTAAATCTATGATCTCTTGTTCTTGAAGTTCCAGGTCTCGGGAATTCTTCCCTATCAATTTTATCGATTCCTGTTACTATTTTGTATGTAGTGATCATATCGCCTCTTTTTCTTCTATCTTCTTGGAAGGAACCTCATCCTTGGCAGGACAGTAATGAAGTGCCTCTTTCTGGTAGAGCCTTGGTGGTTCCCTGTCATATTCCATCTTCATTTTGGTACTGTATTTTGAACGCTTTTGAACTGATCTGATAGCTGATGCCGAACTGCGCTCCAAGCTCCCTGGTGGTGGCATTTGATACTAATGAGTTCTAACTAGTTTTGTTTTTCTTTGTTTATTCTGTATTCTTTTGGGAGTTATTTTGCAGTTTAGTGGCTTTTGAGTCTTGTGAACTCAGCAGTTGTCTGTAAAGCTTCGTTGAATTTCTGGATGCTTTCCCAGTGAAATGGTGAAATGTCATTTGTGCCCTGTGCATCATGGGATGGGGGCTAGGTTTTGGCTCTACCCCCTAGTAAGCCAAATGAAATCATGCAACTAATGTGACTGGTAGATTGGAGCTATCTTATAGAGATAGCTTTCTTTCAACCAGAAAAGGCATTTCATTACATTCAATGCTGGGTTTTCATTTACATAAATTTTTTATAAGCAATTTTAAATATTACCATCCATTAAATATAATATTAGTCTTTAAATGTGTATATCTTTACTTCACAGCTTCCACATCCCAAGAGCGACTCATTTTCACTGGTAGGTGTTAATCGGGACCAATTCCAAGGAAACTATGTAATCCGTGCCAGCCAATATCCACTCTCATCACGATATGCATCAGCTCAGTCAGATATAGCTGTTCAAGTAAGTCAAAGCTTTTACCATAACTTTGCATGAGTATATTGAAGGTATTTTGTTATGGTTGTGAATTTGTTATTGTTGTGAAAAATGTATGGTGAGTTATTACTAAAAATGCTTTGTTTTAGTAATTTTGAAACTTTTTCAGCTTAATGTGGACCGCAGCAAACTTGGCGGTCCTAGTGATCTTCTAGTGTACTTCTCTCTACCCGACAGCCACAAAGGCCAGCAACTCACAACTTATGGTGGTTTTCTCCGTTACAAAATAAAATATTCAAGTGCTGGAGCAGCGCAGGACATCAGGGGACCAGATGTGATCATAATGGTGAGTGAACTGTTTATTTTCATCATCTTCCATTCTATTTTCCCAGTTACATGTACAGTAATATTTTGATAATAGAGCAAGTTATATAATGACCTCTGCTTCCAAGAAGAAAATAGGCAAGTGAGAGACAGTGAATAAAATGTGGTAACTCTTTATTGACTCATTGTCCAATCATAGTAGGGAGATGAACGCTGGTAGGATCTCGTGCTGTCTTTGCTCTCTCTCTCTCTTTGTTGAGAAACACTAAGAGGAGAATAAACTTGATTTGTAGAAAATATTTTGTGTATAAGGATTTTATGAATATACATATACAAGGACCAGCTGATTGAAAGTTTCTAACAGCTCTTATGTGAACTGTTATCCCTCGTATTCATAAAGGAATAGAAAAATGTTATAAAAAGTCATTAAAGTCGAAAGAAATTAAAATGGCTTTTATGACAAACATTGCAACCAGTTGGCTCTATTTTAAAAAGGGATGAAGGTGGTAAGATGTGTGTTTTGACCACTGAGGCTGACTTGTGAGAGTTATTGCGTGACAAGACTGGCAAGACTTCAAGAATTGTCAGTGAATTAAATGGAAAACAAGAATTTGAGGAAAAAAGTAGCAGTATTTGGCAAAGTCAACCAAACTTTGAAGGAAAGTGGCAGCTGTTAGACTAGTTTCTAAGTTGATACTTAAACAACAATATTCTTAACCACTGTGCTGTGCTAACCGAGAAAACTTGGTCGGTAGGATACTGCGCCAACCGAAAAAAAACCTTTTGAATATTTTGTACCCATTCAAAATGCGTGCACTGTAAGTTGTGTATGAAATTGACTCCAAGGACTGCCAGTCAGAGACAGCCATCTTGGAAAAAAATTCCCAGAATGCCCTAGGACTGCTGGCTGGGTTAGCACTGAGTGAGCCACCATGGGTGGTGCACACGCCTCTGGCTCCCAAACACTTGTCCGACGCAGTGTTGAAAGATCGCTCTCTGTTGGTGAAATTTGGTTGACTAAATTTCTTCCAGAATGACTGAATCTCTTCCAGTGAGAGAGCTTACAAAGCGATCCTTTCAAGACTACCTTACATATTGATCTTTCCTATAATCTTTTCAAGACTAACTACCTTACGCTTCACAAGCTTGGCTACATACCTCCAACAGATACTAAAGCCAAGGGTGTACTTACTTGAGTGCATTATTTGCAAGCACACAGAACGAAGAAACAGGAAGCGAAAATCTATCTGTACCTGGTGCAACGAGAGTGAAGTTGCACTGTGTACCATGGACTGCTTTATTGATTATTACTCACTTCCAAAGTACTGAGTGTGTAATACAGTGTGTTACTGTGTAAATAGTGTGTGAAACTGTACATATTGTAATTTTAGTGAATTTTTAACAAGAAATATTGCGACAATAAATATTTATTGTGGACACATTACTAACACATGTATCACAGTTCCATGGAACATTATGAACATTCTACTGTATACATAGTGTAAAGAACACAAAAATGCATCATATACAATAAAAAACAAATAAAACCGCATTGGATAATGCGGATTATTTTTAAATAATTGAAAATATATTTGTGGCAACTTGCGTTGCTTGAATGGCGTGCGCGACTGCCTCTGAGAGCTTCACGCACGGGCAACCAGCCCATGAAGCCCCCTTTTCCACAGAAGAAGTCCCCACAGCCAAAGTAAGTGAAACTTTTTAGTGTTCTGTGGGGAGCCCCTACGCTCCCTGGAGCTTATCGGGCTAATGTATGTTATATTAGACCGGGACATTAGCTATGGAGTTCAGACCTTCCAGGGACCAGCGCCAGAACCTGACCCCTTTAGAGAGGTTTCAGGGAGCAATGACCCTGGAAAACCCCCGTGTGGTTAGGGGTTTTCCTTATCTGCCATCGACTGGGGTTAGCCACCCAGAAATGTAGGCATAACAAAACAAACCCCACATGGTAAGAAACTAAAACAAAAAATGAACAGAGAGGTAGAAACTCCCTACAATCCTATGGAAACAAGCAAACATCACACTTTACTGCCGCGCCGCTCGTCAGCGCAGCCCTCCCCTCCCCAAGAGGGGGAGGGGGGTCCCCGGACCTCACTGTGCCGGCTGCCTAGTACCAGTTCGTAAGCTAATGTCAACCGGGACAGACGCTTCTCTGGCCTCAAATTCCTTGGCGGTGTTTGCCTGTGTGGCATTCTTTGCTGTCTTGGTGTGGTTTGTGGTGGCCAGGAGTACCTCATCAGTGCCGGGGCTGCATGCGCCTAGGGGGCTTCCTTCCCTAAGCGCCCTGTGAGTACTGCCCCTGCGTGTCAGGGTTATCTCCCCTAGGGCGTTCGGGAACCGCTCCCGTAGGGGTTCTTGCTGCTCAGCATTTGCCTTGGCCTTTGGGGCCAGCTGGGGCTTTGGGCCCTTATTTGGTAATGGGTAGGGAATGGTGTTGTGCTGGTTACGGCGTCAAGGTGGTGTGCGACCTGCCACCTACGTCGCGACTGGTTCCTGTTGCCTCTGGGGATGGTGTACTTTTGCGTGGTTTTTCTTTTGTTTTTGTTTGCCTGGTGGGGATTTGCCTAGTGGGACTATAGTTCCCCCTGATACTGTTTTGGTGGCCCTCTGCTAAGCCCACCCATGATTGCACACTTCACGGGTTTCAGTGTTGTCATCTACCACTTAGTTTTTTTTTTTAACCGGTTAGCATCACCTTGCCCGGGCTTCCCATAGTTCGGGACCCGGACGGCTCTGCCCCGGGTCCCGACGTGGGGGATCTTGGGGCTGGGAAGGAGTCGACCTGGGGGCCTTGGACCCCCTTGACCCCCCTTGACCCCACTTGGGTGCTTTTACCTTCTTCATGGGATTTATTGTTGCAGGGGAGGGATTTTCTTACCCCCCATTCCCTACATGAGTATGATCTTCGTTCGGCTCCTCCCTGGGTTCGGTTCCGGGCTCCTTTAGGTACTTCGGCTCCGTCTTTCCAGAGATTTTCTACTTCCCGTATCTCTGCAAAGGAGGCTCGGGAGATTCATGAGGCATACCTCTTGCGAGACCCGGTTCATGCCTCTGTGATGGATCCATCCGAGGGGAGCCGGTCGGCCGAGCGGACACCATGCTGGACTTGTGATCCTGTGGTCCTGGGTTCAATCCCAGGCGCCGGCGAGGAACAATGGGCAGAGTTTCTTTCACCCTATGCCCCTGTTACCTAGCAGTAAAATAGGTACCTGGGTGTTAGTCAGCTGTCACGGGCTGCTTCCTGGGGGTGGAGGCCTGGTCGAGGACCAGGCCGCGGGGACACTAAAAAGCCCCGAAATCATCTCAAGATAACCTCAAGAAGATCCTCTTTTGAGTTCGGTTCTTCTTCCCGCTTTTGGGTGCGTTTAGAGGTTCTGGAGTCTTCCTGGCTGGCAGACTGCCTGTTCATTTCATTTGGGGCATGGCATAGGTTCTGTCGGACCCGCACACTTGATTGTCATGAAACTTCTACGGTTCCGCAGGTTTACCTGAGGGGCAAGTTTGAGCACCTTAATGCATGCTTGTCCATTTCCCGTGGGTTAGGTTTCAGTCTGCCTTGTGCAGGTTTGAAGGTTGCTGTGTGCCCTTTTCTCTATTCTCTGTTCTCGGGATGTTGGCCTTTTCCAGCTTCACGTGCAGGTTCCTCTTCTTTCGGCATTGTTGGTTGCGGAGGATTTGCGCTCCCATGGGCATTTGGTTTTGGTTTTGCGTTTCTTTTTCCTTCTCGAGCTGTCTTTTGCCTTGCTTGAGGAGGATGTGGAAGCATTGAGTGACGGGGCTTCGTCTGGGGTGCTGAATAGGAGTCTGTTTTTTGCTTCTTGCCTCGTGTGCCGTAAGGCTGTGCTTGCTCTCAATTTGGAATCCGCTTGGGCCCTGGCTCTTAGGTTTTCATCTCCATTTTGTCAGTTGCTGTTTGCAAAGGCTGCGTTCTCGCAGTTTCTGCAAGCGGCTTCATCTAGTTGTCGTCCTATGTCGGACTTGTTGGTTCTCCGGGGCGGTCGTTCTCGGCCGTCTTGGAGGGGTCATGCCAGGGTTCAGGGTTCTGCTAGTCGATGTGGGCCATTGGTGCCAGTTTCTGAGCCGACATTGCCTTCGGTGCCGGCGTCGTCTGGTCGGCGTGGTGATCGCTCTGTTCAACGTTTGGTTTCTCGTAAGGGGCGTCGTCTCTTTCGCAGTTCGACCCATTGATGGGGCGATGGGGGTGAAGCTCGCTCTGTTTGCCCACATTTGGTTCCACGATTTGTGGGCCTTTTTCGTCGTGTCATCCAGCCTGTGATGGCATTGGGCGGCTCGTCCTCCTTTCAGGAGTTCGGGGCTAACAGGGTAGCCTGCTTCTCCTGCACTTCGTTAAGTTATCTTGGAGTGGGTGCGTGTGGGCGTGGTCGAAACGACCCTGTCCCTCAGGTGGGTTTCCTGCCTGTTTCCAGTGCCGAAACAGGACTGTGCGGATCTGAGGTTCATTCTGGACTTGTCCCGTCTGAACCCCAGGATTCCCTGCTCCTCCTTTCGGATGACTACTCTGTCTCAGGTCCGGCTTCTGTTGAAGCAGGGTGTCTGGATGGTGTTCCTGGACCTCAAGGATGCTTATTGGCACGTTCCTATTCATCCGGGGGTTCAGGGACTGGTTAGGTTTCGTGGTGGGGCATCAGGCTTACATTTTTCATTGCCTCCCTTTTGGCTTGAATCTGGCACCTCGCATTTTCGTGCGTCTTAACTGGGTTGTGGTCACCCGTCTGTGTTTGCTAGGGATTCGGGTTTTGGCCTACCTTGACGACTAGCTGGTGTGGGCTGCCAGTCGGTCGGCTTGTCTGCTCGCCAGGAATATGGTTCTTTCCCAGCTCACCAGATTTGAGTTCCCGGTGAACTGGAGGAAGTCCCATCTGGTTCCGTCCCAGGTTTGGACCTGGCTGGGTGTTGTTTGGGATTCTCGAACCGCTTCCTTGTCACTCCCTCCAGAGGCGTTGCTGTGGCTGCGGTCCCGCCGTCAGCTGTTGCTTCGGTTCTGGCTCGGTTGGAGACCTTCCCAGGTAGAGTAGTCCTTGTGGCTCCTTGGTGGCCGGCCCAGCCTTGGTTTCCGGCGCTGTTTGCTCGGTTGGACCAGTCCGGTACGGGGCTGGTTCGACCTTCTCCTCTGCTCTTTGCGTCTGGTCCTTTTGACGCGGGTGTATCACCATTTCTATGGTGACCAGGTGGCTTCGTTGATGATGTACCACCTGAGAGCTTCATCTTGGCAACAGTATGAAGTTTCCTGGTGTTCTTTTCATTATTTTCTTGCTCTTCGTAAGTTGCTTTCTGTTTTGGATCGGGTTGTCTTGTCATTTGTTTCTTGGGTTTTCAGGACCGTCATTTGATGCCTAATACCGTCGCCTCGTATCGTGCGGCGCTGGCGGAGCCGCTCCAGCTTGTGTTTGGGGTGGACATCACATCGGCCCCGTTCTGTAAGCTTTCTCGTGCTATATTTCACCTCCGGCCTGCTCATGCGCTGCCTGAGCCATCCTGGTCCTTGGACAGGGTGCTCTCTTATCTTTCCTCTCCTCAGTTTGTGGTGGCCCCCTTCGGTCTTAGATTGTTTTTCCAAGGCCCTGTTTTTTGTTGGCATTAGCTTCTAGGTGTCGGGTAGGGAAGCTTCATGCTCTCCTCCGGTGCAGGGTTTCTGCTCTTTTGGTCCTGGGGGTAGATTTGTATGTTTGCAGCCTTCTCCGTCTTTTCTGGCAAGAATGAGACGGCTGCTTTCCGAAGGGGTCCTTGGGTCATTGATGCTTGTTTAGTTCGGGCCAGGGGTGCATCATGTATTGTCCGGTTACAGCTCTTCGTTGTTACCTGCGTGCCTCGGCTGGGGATGTGCTTTGGGTTGATCTGGTTTCCCTCGTAACCTGTTCCAGAGCTCGGGTCTCCCAGGTCATCTGCAGGGTTATTAAGTCTAGCCAGCCTGTGGTGTATCCTCGCGCCCATAACGTTTGGAAGTTTGCAGCTTTGGCTGCCATGTTTGGTAACACGTCTTGGGCTCATATTCGGGCGTGTGGATTTTGGAGATCGAACAGGGTCTTGGCCGCCCATTATTTGGTGAAGGTGCCTGCTTCTGGGCGTTCTTGTGTTTCTTTGGGTCGCAGGTTGCAGCTAGGTATCTTTACTTCGCGTTGAGGAGTTTGTGACAGCTGCCTCCCGGGTAAGTCCCTATTTCCGTCTGTTTAGGTTTGTTGCTCCAGGGTAGGGGCTCCCCACAAAAAAACGGCGTTGAATGTAATGAAACGCCATTTTCTGGGTGAGCCCCGGAGGCTCCCTGGCATCCCTCCCTTCCACCAGTTGGTGTTTTTTCGCGTTGGTTGAAGCTTAGCTTCCGAACTGGTGCTAGGCAGCCGGCGCGGTGAGGTCCGGGCCTTTTCCCCCCTCCCCCTCTTGGGGAGGGGAGGGCTGCACGGACGAGCGGCGCGGTAGTAAAGTACGATGTTTGCTTGTTTGCTTGTTTCCTTGGGATTGTAGAGAGTTTCTACCTCTGTTTACTTTTTGGTTTTAGTTTCCTACCATGTGGGGTTTATTTTGTTATGCCTACCTTTCTGGGTGCCTAACCCCAGTCGATGGCAAATAAGGAAAACCCCCAACCACATAGGGGTTTTCCAGGGCCATTGCTCCCTGAAACCTCTCTGTAGGGGCCAGGTTCTGGCTCATGGTCCCTGGTAGGTCTGAACTCCACAGCTAATGTTCCGGTGTAATATAACATACATTAGCCCGATAAGCTCCAGGGAGCCTCTGGGGCTCACCCAGAAAATGGCGTTTCATTACATTCAATGCTCGTTTTTTTTTTACATGTACATGTTCAGGGAAGGGAATTTATCATTGTACAAAGATAAAAAATGTTTGCGAAAACTTTATTTTATGCGCACAGGGGGAATGTCACAATAAACTCGCCGCATCGCAGTGGTTAAAATGATGGAAAATTTGAGTACTCAGATATTAAAAGTTGCAGATGAAATGGAAGAGTTTAACACGTAAATGATACAGAAATTTGCTCAAGTTTGAAATGAGAAGGAAAATACAGATAAGCAGCTCAGTATAAAAGTGAATATTTGGGAAGATATAAAGGAAACTACCGCAAAATATTATTGACCATTGTAAATCAATAGTCAATAAAGGAAATACAGATTTCCTTCTCTATAAAAAAAAAAAGCGTTGAATGAAATAAAACGCCATTTTCTGGTTGAGTCCCTGGGGCTTCCTGGAGCTATCCAGGCTGAATGGGTATGTATAACACTCTGCCATCAGTCTGTGTGCATGGAGTTCTTGCCTACTGGGGACCACGGCCAGAACCTGGCCCCCTCAAGAGAGGCACGAGGAGCAATGGCCTATAGAAACTCTCGTGTGTCTGGGAGCATTCTATGTCTGCCAGCGACACGGTGTCCAGCATGTAGACCAGAAACAACGACACCCATTGAAAAAAGGGAGTTAACCTGGTTGATACCTGGTTGATGGGGTTCTGGGAGTTCTACTCCCCAACTCAACCACTCTCAACCCCAACAAGTTAACTCAACCACTTGCAAGTCTAACCACACCACAATGAACCTGCGGAGCTGATGGGAGAGGACTGCTGACCCAAAATTCCTGAACCTAATGGGAGAAAGAGTAGATCAGTGCCACTGTAGACCCTGGGAAACAACCTAGAAGGCCCACAAGGAAGAAAGGGAGACATGATCATCACAAAATATTCTCAGTGGAAGTGACAGGGTAGATAAGGACATATTATTTAACACGAATGATACTCACACAAGGGGACGTATGTAGAAGCCGAGTACCCAAATGAGCCATAGAGACATTAGAAAGAACATTTTCAGTGTCTGAGTAGTTAATAAATGAAATGCACTAGGAAGTGATGTGTTGAAGGCTGACTCCATACACAGTTTCAAATGTAGATATGATGGAGCTCAATAAGTTTAGGGTCCTGTACACCAGTTGATTGAGAATTGAGAGGTGGGACCAATGAGCTGAAGCTCAACCCCTTCAAGCACAACTAGGTGACTACATATTATGTGACCAGGAACTGGTGAAAGGGATCACTGTACAGTTTCGTAAAAAGGAATGAACTGTGAAAGGGCTGGAGCAAAGATCCAGAGCAGAGGCACCCTTCTGCAATGCCTGAGAATGATGCTGACCAGAAGAGGCACCAGCTGCAGGAAGGGCAACAGCCCAACCCAAAAAGCCTGCCTCAAAGTAGTAGGGATAGAACCCCTCTGCAGAATAACTTAACTATGGGTGCTGGAAGGCAGAGTCAGCAGCCAAAAGAACTGAAAAACAATCTTAGGAAACAGAAACAGTGAAAAGGGGGTGGACAAAAGGTTAAGAACCAAGCCTAATCTAAAGCCTAGGCTAATATAGCCCACTCACACACACACAAGATGGTCTTTAAAAACTACAGCCTGCAGCTCGCTCCTTCCTGAAAAACGGGCGCGAGCAACTTCGACAGAGTCGCCGAAGTCGGAATTGCAGGCAATAGACAGCCACACCAGGCACCAAAGTCAAACAGCCAAGCTGTCCTGGAGTTAATTAGAAAGCAGCTCAACAACAGCTCAGAAGTGCGAAATGGCCACTAAGCAAACACAAGACTCGTGATCCTTGCATCAAGGCTCCAGAGAGCAATGGTAGCTGGATGTGCTGACACCTGCACATGTCCTTGAGAAGAACTAGAGCAAATAAGCAGCTCTCAAGTGGCACAAAAAGAGCAACACCCAAGAACACGTGGAAGGATTCCACTTCCTGCTACTCCATCATCCGGATTCAGCAAAAGTTATGCCAAGCCCCCAAGAAAAACAGAGGGGCGTCAGCCAGCTATGATGAATTGGGGACCTCATACTATAGCCGAAAAACAGAAGCCGACCTGAACTCAAGATATGATAAGCAAGATCCTAATCACATAGGAGGAACCGAAAAAGGTCTGCCTGAGTCGAGGAAGGCTCAAGGTGAAACGATGAAAACCTCCAGAAATACGACACATCTGCAGACTCTAGCATGACATGAAAGTGCATCCAGTGGAGGGAGGGGAGTGGGAGCAGCCAAGGAATCTAGCTCAAAATTTAATTTAGGAAAAGTATAGTCCTCCATTCTGAGCAAAAGTTCCTCTGCAGATGGTACCAGAGACAAGGAAGAGTTGAAGGGCATGCAGGAACCCTCTCCAGGCTTCCCAAAGCCCCAAATATCACACATGAAGACAGCAGTGCAGATCCATATTCCACACCTGACATCCTCAAACATAGGGAAGTTTCAGGAAAATTGAATCTCAAAGAATGAAGAAAACATTAATAACACTTGTTACTAAATTAATTTGATACAATATGTACTGTAATGACAAAATTGTAATGATAGAAAGCACCTTCTCATTATAATGTCTATGATAAATGGTTTAATGTCATAATTTTATGAAAATCTTTAATGCTACATTTAGGACTACAGTACTGTATTTCAGTTATGTGGCATAATTTAATGTGTGTCTAGACTCACTATATGCAAATTTTTGGGACAGGGTACAAAGGGTTCTCCCTTCATGTATTATATTTATTTTTATTCTTACAGGGAAACAACATCACACTTATGCATGTGTATGATGAAACGTTCAACCCTGATGTTGAAAACCAAGTTGACGTCAGGTTCCAAACTGGTCAGTGGTTTAAGAGAGTTGTTGGTCAGGGACAAACAGTACAATCTCAAGAGCCAGCTAGCCGAGAAGAAATCTTGATGGTATTGGAAAACATGGAGCTTCTTTTAATAAGGTATAATTTTACTGCACTTCTTTCATAAAAAAAATTTATATTGAACACATTGAACAAGAAGAAAGGAAGGAATGAGAGAAAGCCGTCTTGTGAACCAAGCTATTGTCTGCAAAGCTTCACTGACGTTTTGGATGCTTTCTCAGTGAGTGATGTTAATAATCTCTTACTCTCTTCTCTATGAGGAGCCAGATTCTGAGTCTTATTCCCAGTATGCCAAGCAGGACTTTTGTGCCTGATGTGACCCAATAGTGAGTATCCATCTCTGCTATCCACTGGGGCTCTACCAGAAAGAGACATTTCATTAAATTCATTACATTTCATTACAGAAAACATTTAATTTTGTTTCCATGTTATTTTCTTGACTGTGGCAACAGTCAATTGATGGAGTTCTAGGTCTACCGAGGACCAATTGATGGAGTTCTAGGTCTACCGAGGACCAGCGCCAGAACCTGGCCCCCCTCAGAGAGAGACAAGGAGCACTGGCCTATAGACACCTCCCATGTAATTGGAAGCAGTCTATGTCTGCCATCTACCAGGTCAGGCACCTAGTAAAGTAGGAATTCCAAAACAAACTACAGCTGGTTAAAAATTGCAAACCGAAAGTCGAACTAGCAAGCAGAATTCCCCAATCAAAAACAAGCAAACAAGCATGACGTTACCACAGTCATTAGGCCACTATCTGCGCAACTCCCCCCCCCTCCCCCCGATTCCCGGAATGGGGAAGGGGGGGTCTCAGACCTCCTGCGCTGGCTACCCAACCACCCCAGTTTTTCAGAAGCTGTTGTTTTTGGTGGTGGTTGTTCGACTCTGACTCCTTGAAAAGTGCTCCTTTTGAGCACTGCTGTCCATTGTGGTGGTGTTCTACTGTGTGGTGGTGTGCAAGCCAGGAGTAACACAATAGTACTGGGGCTGCATGCCGCTAAGGCCACCTTCCCTAGGTGTCTTATAAGTACTGCCCTTGCAGTTTAATGTTATCTTCCATAAGCCGTTTGGGAGACTACCACCATGTGGTTCTTTTGATGCTCGGTGATTGCCCGCCCTTGGGGGTCAGCTGGGGTCGTTCTTATGTGTGTTTAAACATGGGGTAGGAGGTAGTATCATCGCTGGCTGGGGCGCAAGGTACTCTGCGGCTGTCCAATATATGCATAGCGGCCGTTTCTGTTCCCCTGGGGACGTTGTGCTTTTGCAGGGTTTTTCTTTTCTTTTCTTTTCTTTTCTTTTTTCTTTTCTTTTTTTTTTTTTTTCTTTTTCTTTTTTTTTCTTTTCTTTTCTTTTTTTTTCTTTTTCTTTTTCTTTTCTTTTGCCTGGTGGGGGTCTGCTTGTTGTGGCTATAGAACCACTTGTATGATTTTGGTGGCCCTCCGCTAGGTCCCCGTGATTGCACATGTCGCAGGGGTTCAGCTTTTAGTTTGTTTGCTAGGTAGCTCTGGGATAACCGGTTAGCAGTATCCTGTCTGGGCTTTCCTTAGCAATCAGCCTTAGGGCCCTAGGAATCCCCATTGGGGCTCAGTGGTCCAATGGAGGAGACCTTTGAGTCCCACCTCGCTTTGTGCGAGTTTGATGGTTGCTCTGTCCCCTTGTCTCAAGGTGACATTCACCCACTTTGCCTCTGCCATGCTGCTTGTTGGGGCGATGACGCCTTTGACCCGGAGTCTTACAAGTGGTGTTCCTAGTGTGTACTCCAGTTCACCCAGTCTGATAATGCTGTTGATTGGGTGCAGGCAACACTTGCGTTGTATGTGCGGTTTAAGTTGCTGCAATGCTCTAGGTTAATTGCCTTTCCTGAGCAGGGCAGCCCCATGGCTGCCCTGCTTTGGTAATGGGGACCCGGACATGGGGGTGTTAGTCGCTTCGACTAACTTGTCCTCGCCCCCCCCCCCTTATCCTTTCAATGCTGTGGTTCATCCTGCTCAGACTCCTGGCTCCCAAACTTCTGAGGGTTTCAGGCAGGGTTTTCTTAGTGGTGAGACTTTGGGGGGCTTTGGGAACTGCCCCTTCCAGATAGGCAGCGGAGGCATTTGAGCCTGTTCCGCCTACTGGGGCTTTTGGGTCGCACCAGTGTTCCCCCTTCAACCCTGTTTTTCCAGTGTACTCTGCCTTTTCTCCTGAGGCAGAGGGTTTGGAGGATGGCTCTGCCCCAGGTCTTGACGTGGAGGATAACGGGGCTGGAGGGAGTTGCCTTTGGGGGGGCTTGGACCTTGTTTGATGGTGTTCCTTGACCTCCGGGATGCGTGTTGGCACGTCCCGATTCATCAGGGGTTCAGGGGCTGGCTCGGTTGTGTTGTGGGGCATCAGGGTTACCACTTTCGTTGCCTGCCATTTAGCTTGAATCTGGCACCTTACATTTTCACATGCCTTACCTGGGTCATGGTGGGCCATCTGCGTCTTTTAGGTGATCGGGGTTCTGACCTACCTTGACGACTGGCTGGTGTGAGCTCCCAGCTGGTCCGCGTGTCTGCTTGCCAGAGATTTGGTTCTCTCCCAGCTCGCTGGGTTCGGGTTCCTGGTGAATTAGAGGAAGTCCCATCTGGTTACCTCTCAGGTTTGGTCTTGACTGGGTCTTGTGTGGGACTCTCGGAACATTTCCTTGTTTCTCCCTCCGGAAACTTGCTTTGGTTGCAACCCCACGATTGCCATGATTTTTGGGGGGCTTTCGGGTCATGCAGCAGTTGCTCGAGGGTTTGTTCGGGAGTCTGAACTTTGCCGTAATGGTCAACCTGCCGGGTTGAGTTTGTCTTTGTTGGCTCAATGTGTTCACAGATGCGTCATCTCTTGGCTGAGGCTTTGTGACCAGTGCTCACCATGCCGACCAGGGGCAGTGGGATCCATCCTTTCATCAGGCCCACATCACGGTGCGGGAGTTCGCGGCGGTGTGGATGTCACTTCAAAGGGTTCGGGGTCACTTGTGGATCAACGATCAGGCTCCATTTGGACTGCTTCCCAGTGGTTCATTACATGAATTGCGGAAGTTCGAAGCAATTCTTGGCACTTTGGGGCTGGTCGCTTCGGGTGACTCATCTGCTGAGTTCTCGGGTTTTGGTTCTCCTGGCCGTTCATGTTTGGGGGTGTTCAACGTTCTGGCTGACGGCATATGTGTGATACACTTTCCCGACTGTGAGGCCGTTGGGATTGATGCCTTCCGGCAGGACTGGTCGATGTGGGGGTTCCTTTACCTCTTTTCCCCGATTCCGCTGTTGCTCCTAGTCCTAGCTTGCTTGGAGACTTACCGAGGGAGAGTAGTCCTCTTGGCCCCATGGTGGCTGGCCCAGCCTTGGTTTCAGGCGCTGCTTGCTCAGTGTCCGAACCCAGAGGTTTTTCTGCGGCTCTGCCTCTTTCAACAGATTGGTATGGTCCATTACGAGACTGGTTCGCTCTTCTCCTCGAGTCTTCGCATTTGGCCTTTTTGACTCGAGTCTATCACCATCTGTATGGTGATCAGGTGGCTTCTTTGATGGTATCCCACCTGCGGGCTTCGTCTCGGCAGCAGTATGAAGTTTCCTGGTGGTCCTTCAGTTTTTTTCTGTCTCCTCGTTGCTGTACTTCGATTTCTGTTAGTAATTTTGTCCTTTATCTCATGACTGTTTCAGGACCGTCATCTTATGCCGAATACCGTTGCCTCGTATTGTGCGGCATTGGCGGAGCCACTGCAGCTTGCTTTCGGTATTGATGTTACTTTGGAAACGTTTCACAAGCTATCCCGAGTGTTGTTTCACCTCTGGCCTGCTCATGTGCTACTTCAGCCTGGTCTTTGGACAGAGTGCTCTCGTATCTGTCTACGCCTTGGTTTGTTATGGCCCCTTCGGTTCAGGATTGCTTTTCCAAATTTCTTTTCTTGTTGGCATTGGCCTCTGGGGGTCGGGTTGGGGAGCTTCATGCTCTCCTCTGGCGCAAGGGTTTCTGCTCTTTTGGTCGTGGTGATAGGTTTGTTCGTTTGTAGCCGTCACCTTCTTTTTTGGCGAAGAATGAGACTGCTGTTTTCCGGTCCTTAGGTTGTTGATGCTTGGATGGTCAGGTCAGGGGTGCATCATGTGTTGTGTCCGGTTGTGGCTCTCTGCCGTTATTTGCACGCCACGTCCTCTGTGGCTGGGGATGCACTTTGGGTTGATCTGGTCTCCCTTCTTCCCTGTTCTCGGGTTCGGGTTTCTCAGATCGTCCGCAGGGTTATTCAGTCTAGCCAGCCTGCAGTCTATTCCCGTGCTCATGACGTTCATAAGTTTGCTGCGCTTGCTACCATCTTCGGTGATATGTCCTGGGCTGATATTCGGGTGCGGGGTTTTTCGTGGTCGAACATGGTCCTGGTATGCACGTTACCTCGTTAACATTTTCTGGGTGAGTGCCGGAGGCTCCCTGGCATCCCTCCCTCCCTTCCGGTTGGCAGTTTTTCTCATGTTTTTGACATCCAGCCTCAGAACTGGTGGGTGGATTGCCGGCATGGGGGTCTGGGGCTCCCCTTCCCCCTCAAGGAGAGGGGAGGAGCTGCGCAGGTATGCAGCATGGTTCGTGTGACGTCATGCTCATTTGTTCATTTTCATTTGGGGAGTTGTGTCCACTAGTTCGTCTATTTTAGACGTTTTAACCAGAATAGGGGTTTGTTCTGAGGCGCTTACCTTTCTGGGTGCCTGTCTTGGTCAATGGCAGATATAGAATGCTCCAAATCACATGTGGATTTCTATAGGCCATTGCTCCTCGTGCCTCTCCGAGGGGGCCCAGGTTCTGGCCGCGGTCCCTGGTAGGCCTAGAACTCCATTCACACTGATGTCAATGTCTACCGATATACACATCAGCCTGGATAGCTCCGGGGAGCCTCCGGGACTCGCCCAGAAAATGGCGTTTCATTACATTCAATGCTGGTTGTTTTGTTTTAGTTTGTTTTAATATTTTTCTTTGTATAATTTCTAAATAAAAAAGAATATCACATTACATTTTCTGTATTCATAGTGATATATATTTTACAGGGCTCTGTACAATGATGGACTATTTGTGAGAGCTACACTTTCTGATGTGACGTTGGACACTACTGAAATATCTAGCACTGATCAAGGTCGAGCAGTATTGGTTGAAGAATGTCGCTGTCCTCGAGGCTACTTTGGACTCTCATGCCAAGTATGTTATTTCATCTAAAAAATATTAATTTCAGGATTTTTTCATATTTTTTCTATCTTTGATGCTTTATTTTCTCCTTCATGGGCTGCAGCATAAAAAATAACAGCATTGAATGTAATGAAACTCCATTTTCTGGGTGAGACCTCCCAGTATGTGCATCTCCCCGGATCTATACCGCTGGGGAGCTGGGAGTAATATTCTCAGGTACTTGGGCTGCATGCGCTTAGGGTCTCCTTCCCTGAGTGCCCTGTAAGTACCGCCCTTGGGGCTTGGGGTTCTCTTCCTCAAGTCGCCTTGGGTCTACCTCTGTTGGTCTTTCGCTGCTTGGCGTTTGACCGCCCCGAGTGTTTGGGGGTTTTCCTCCCTTGTTTGCCTTGGGGTAGGTGGTAGTTATTGCACTGGTGGGGTGCGGGATACTGCGTAGCTAGTTTTCACCTATGACAGCGGCTGGCTCTGTTCCCTCTGGGTACGTTTTGTGTGGTGGCACCCCCTGCTTCACCCTCATGAGTGGACACGTCTAGTGGGTTCAGCTTTTAGCAGTTTGCTTGGTAGTTTGGGGCGCCGGTTAGCAGTGCCCTGCCTGGGATAACCCTTAGCAGACCCAGTCTAGGGGCCCTGGAAAACCCTGCGGGTGCTCTCGGGACCGATGGAGGAGATCCTTGTGTCCCCTCTCGCTTTGTGCAAGTTTGAGGGTTCCTCTGTCCCCTTGTCTCAGGGCGACACTCGTTGTTTTTGCCTCTGTCATGCTGCTGGTTGGGTTGGTGACACATTGAGTCCTGCAAGCTCTGTTGCTTGTTTATGACTCAATTCACCCTGACTGATGATGATTTTCTTTGAGTGCAGGTAGCACGCGCATTGCAGGGTAGGTTTAGGTTATTGCTACGTGCTCGGGTTGTTGCTTCCCCGGACCCCCAGAGGCTGCCCCGCTTTGCCTATAGGGACTCGAACTTGGGGGCGTTGGTCGCTTCAGCCTTGGTTCCATCCACGCCCCCTCATTCTTCCCCTTCGGTGGTTCATTTGGTCCCCCCATCTTCTGCTTCGTCCCCTATGCATCTGTGGGCTTCGGGGTCAGGGCAGGGTTTAGAGATTTCTGAGACTCGGGCAGTTTCTGAGGTTGCTCCGTCTGGGGTGGCTGCGGAGGCATTCGAGTCTGTTCCTCCTGCCAATGCTCCGGGGTCTGACCAGTGGGCCCCTTCCCGTCCGGATCTTTCGGCTGCCCTGGCTTTTTCTTGTGAGGCCGTGGCTTTGGAAGATGACTCGGCCCAGGGGGGCCTGGAGTGGAGGTTCCCAGGATTGGGGAGGAGCTGACTTGGGGGCCTTGGGCTCCTTTGGACCTCACCTGGATTTTCAGTCCTTCTGAGCAGGGCTTACTGTTGCAAGTAGGGGTCGAGTGGGGCTTTCTTTCCCCCCCCCCCTCTGTGTACGATTTGGACTTGGGTTCTGCTCCTCCCCAAGTTCGGTTCGGTTGTCCTTGTGGATTCTTCGGTTCCATCCTTCTGGAGGTTTTCGGCTTCCTGCGTCTTGCTGCCTGAGGTGTGGTCGGCCATTGCTGCTTACCTCTTGTGTGACTCGGAGTATGCCTCCATAATGGATCCTTCTTCGTTCAGGTTTGGATCATCGTGTCCTTACTGGGTGCATTATGAGGTTCCGGGGTCGTCCTGGCTTGCAGACTGACCCTTGTTTTCGTTGGATGCTTGGGGCTCGTTCTGTTGGACCCGCATGTTTGAGTGGCGCGAAGCGTTGACGGTAGTCCAGGTTTACCTTGGGGGCAATTTTGCGTATCTAAACACTTTAGTGCGCGCGGCATTCGCTGAAAAAAAAAGCGGGTTGTTCGCGCGGCGTTCTGGGCACTCAAGTGTAAACACAAAAAAGTTTATAATCTTTTCACGCTCCTAACATCAATTCTTGAGCTACGTTTTTCATTTTGGTATCAATGCGTTGGCAATAAAATTCTCTACAAGATCATATGCATAAAATGTCACCCAAGCATTTGCTATCCCACCACGAAGTAAATAAACACGAAGATGACTCGCCGTGACACCCAAACAGGAAGTAAATGTTCATACTCTTTCGTTTGTTGCCAGCCTCACAGTCATCCTACAGCGCTTATTTTGATATCACTGAACTCGCAATAAAATTCCCCACCCAGACATATGCCTATCAATGTCTAATTATGTTCCGCACGAGTGTGGGAACTGGGCGAAGCGTTAGCCGTGATTTCAGCAGCGACGACACTGTTGTGATGCAGCGCTTTGAAAGTTTATACTTATTTCACTGTTCTGACATTATTTCTCGAGCTACGTATTTCATTTTTATAGCAATGTGTTCGCAATAGAAAGTTCTATAAGAACATGGGTAGAATTGGCCAACAGAGCGTCAAATAAATTTGCGGCGAATAAAATCTTACGCGAATCTTACGCGTGTTTGTACCCGTGAGCGTAAAAAGTTTTTACTTTGCTCATGTTTTTTCAAGTTTATACTTGATTCACACCGTTTTTTTTGTTTGTATAGTGTTGGGAATAAAATTCTCTACACAGACATATGCATATAAATGTAGAATCATGATCGCGGCCAACACAAGAGTGTGTGGAGTGGGCGTACCCTCGTTGTGTCACCAACTCAATAGTCTCTCCTCTAAGTTACAATACATTGCTGTTTTCTCAAATAGGCACTGTGCCTATTAGAGAAAACGAAAATTTAATGGGAAACATATTCATACAAACCCCAAGTCGATCGAGTAGTAAATACCCAATATAAAACACGGTCCGTAAATTTACGTCGTGATCCGACAAGCGGTTAAGCAAAACGCCTGTAATTCCAAGTCGAAAATCCAGGAAAGTGTTAAGGATAAAGGATATTAGTGCGGTTCAGCTTCATGTGCAGGTTCCTTCCCTGTCGGCTGCGCTTGTGGCTGAGGACGCACTCATGGCTTTTTAGCTTCGGTCCTGCGTTTGTTTTCCCACCTGGAGCTGTCTTCAGATTGGCTTGCAGAGGATGTAGAGGTGCTTGGGGCCGTTCCTGGGTCTGGCACCATGGTCTCAGCTGCTAATGCGTCATCTGCTCTTGTGAAGCTGTTTTGCGCCGATCCTGCAAGAGGCGTTGCTACGGTTTTTCCCTGCGTGTTTTGCAGGTCGACAGGCAGTACTCACTTCATCATTAGAATCTGCTTGGGCCCTGGTTCTTAAGTTGTCCTCTGCTTTTTGAGGCCTCTGCGGTTAAGCGTTATATTCAGGAAGCTTTTTGCACTTACCTTCCTATGTCTGAATTGTTGGTGCTCAGGGGGAACCGAGGGGGGGAAGGGGGGGTTCCTTCCCGGCAGGGTCGTGCCAGGGCTCGTGGTTTCGGTAGTCGAGGTCGGCCACAGGTGTCGGGTTCGGTGCCGGTGCCGCCTGCGATCCCACCTGTGCCTGGTCGGCGCGGTGTTTGCTGTGCGCGTAGGTCGGGTTGTCGTAAGGGGCAGCGGCCCTTTCGCAGTTCGCCCCATTGACGGGGTGATAGGGGGGAGATTTACTCTGCTCACTCACGCCTGGTCTCACGATTTGTGGGCTTTTCGGGTCATTTCTCTCCGCCTGTGGTGTCATTGGGTGGCTTCTCCTCCTCTGAGGGTTATGGGGCTGACGGGGCAAGCTACCTCTCCTACACTCTATCGGGTCATCTTGGAGTGGGTGCACTTGGGCATGGTTGAAACGACGACTTCTCTCAGGTGAGTTTCCCGCCTGTTCCCAGTTTCGAAACGGGACTGTGCGGACCTGCGGTTCATTCTGGACTTGTCCCGTCTGAACCCTTGGGTTTCTTGCCCCTCATTTTGGATGACCACTCTGTCCCAGGTCCGGCTTCTGTTGGAGCCGGGCGCTTGGATGGTGTCCCTGGACCTCAAGAATGTGTATTGGCATATCCCTATTCATCTGGGGTTCAGGGACTGGCTCGGTTGTGTTGTGGGGCGTCAGAGAGTTACCACTTTCGTTGTCTCCCTTTCGGGTTGAATCTGGCACCTCGTGTGTTCACACGCCTTACCCAAGTTGTGGTGGCCTGTCCAGACTCCAGGGAGCCTCCGTGACTCACCCAGAAAATGGCGTTTCGTTACATTCAACGCTGGTTTTTGTTAGCAACTTGCAACATGTCATGAAATTATGAATGAGCCTGGAGATGGCATAGCTACACCTTTGGAGTAGCTACACATCTTGAGGCTTTCTCTCTCAAGTAATTAAGTGAACCTTTTATAGATCAATCTGTGTTTCACTGATCATTTCTGCAGTGCCTCACTAGCATCAGTTATGTCTGAACATGATCACTATCATGATTGTATCCATTGGGACCTTGTGGGAGTTTGCCTTAGGATCATTAATGCTAGTGGAATAGATCAGAAAGAAGAATAAAAAAGTCCAGTGATTTCCTGTAAAGCTTGTGCTTAAAATAAGAAAACTAAGCATAACAATTAAGAGCCAAACCTAAAAACATTAGATGAGAATAAGACAAGAGAAGACACGTTCACAGTATACAGAATACTGAGAGAATTTGACAAATAGCTAGGAGGCAGGGCATAATGACCTAGATTTCACTCCCCCATAGTCACTGATATGCAAGCACTGACAGGTAAGCACGCTTTCACCACGCTTTCTAACTTCAGAATTGCTTTTAAATACATGGATGGCGATATACTAAAGAAATTGTTCACGAATTTTGTTAGGCCAAAGCTAGAATATGCAGCAGTTGTGTGGTGCCCATATCTTAAGAAGCACATCAACAAACTGGAAAAGGTGCAAAGACATGCTACTAAGTGGCTCCCAGAACTGAAGGGCAAGAGCTACGAGGAGAGGTTAGAGGCATTAAATATGCCAAAACTAGAAGACAGAAGAAAAAGAGGTCATATGATCACTACATACAAAATAGTAACAGGAATTGATAAAATTGATAGGGAAGATTTCCTGAGACCTGGAACTTTAAGAACAAGAGGTCATAGATATAAACTAGCTAAACACAAATGCTGAAGAAATATAAGAAAATTCACTTTTGCAAACAGGGTGGTAGACGGTTGGAACAAGTTAGGGGAGGTGGTGGTGGAGGCCAAGACCGTCGGTAGTTTCAAAGCGTTATATGACAAAGAGTGCTGGGAAGACGGGACACCACGAGCGTAGCTCTCATCCTGTAACTACACTTAGGTAATTTCACTTAGGTAATTACCACTACATACCACCATCACAACTTCATCCTTCCACCTCCTGCACCACTAATTACCACGACCACCACAACCACATATTGCCACCAATATTATATACTACCACCAGCACCACAACCATATACTACCACTCCCACAATCACATGCACTGCCATTAAAACCACAAACTACTACCAATATAACCACACACTACCACCACCACATACTACCACCACAATCATATACTACCCCTTACATTTCCAGTGATTGCCACACAACTGTATTATAAATGAACACCTTGTTAAGAGGAGTCTTTTCTTTACTTTCAAAGGATTTGATACTGCAGTTAAAGATTATGCATATGAACATCATCTCCCATGTCCATTAATCCATTGAATTTTGGATCAATGATAAGCCAAATTAGGAACTCTTCATGTATATATTACATTATTTCCTTTTTTTATAACAGGATTGTGCACCAAACTACCGTCGGGTGTTAGGAGGACCTTGGCTAGGTCAGTGTGTACCAGACATTGAGTGTGGACCTCTGGAATATGGTGATCCTGCAAATGGTATTCCTTGCCTGCCATGCTCTTGCCCTCTTACAACTCCTAATAACCAGTAAGTACATATCTCTTCTGTACTTGCCCTCTTACAACTCCTAATAACCAGTAAGTACATATCTCTTCTGTACTTGCCCTCTTACAACTCCTAATAACCAGTAAGTACATATCTCTTCTGTACTTGCCCTCTTTCAACTCCTAATAACCAGTAAATACATTTCTCTTGTTCAGTAGCTAAAGCAGTTAAGACATAAATACTTCTGCTGCAGATGTTCTCAATATTTCTAATAATAATTTCTGCCCGAAACGCTTTGCGTAATAGTGGCTTTAGGCATTGTGTGTACCAGCTCTATCTATAAACCTAGCAATTTTTGTAAAAATCTCTTGTATGTATGTACCTTACCTGAATAAACATTTATTTATTATTTATTAATAATAATAAAAATAATAATAATAATAATAAAAATAGTAATAATACTGTAATAATAATAATAATAATGCTACAATAACTTTATTTCACACTAAAATACAAGGCATGATTATGAATAAATTTACCATAACAGTGCCTATAATATGCACAATATATTGGGCAAATGGTATCTTCATTATAGTAATATGAATATTAGTGGAAATAAAATGCACAAGTGTTTCTCATTATACAGAACAACGAACATATAATTATATACAGTAGACCCCTGTGTATCTGAATGTTTTTGAATATTTTTTCACTATTTTTAAGCCCCCAAAATCTATGAAGGCACTATTCTGAGCTGTATACTTGGTTACTCCATAATACAAGGTCCTACTAATCTTTGATTAGGATAAGCACCAGTCAAAGCAGGTTTGTATTCCATACCAAACTAGTGGGATCTTTTCAAACATTCCTTGTTAGATTTTTTATTTTTTTATTTATTTACATACACAAGAGTTCTTTCATTCTTGTACAGCTACTAGCACACGTAGATTTTCGGGCAAATCCTTAATCCTATGTTCCCGGAATATGACCCACCAAATCGTTTAACAACCAGATACCCATTTTACTGTTGGGTTAAACAGAGGCTACAGTTAAGGATTTCTGTCCAGTAAATCCTCCCCAGCCAGGATACGAACCCAGGACAGTCATGCTCTATGAACCAGAAGATCTCCCCTAAGAACCAGGAGATCATACTAGTAACAGGGAGACACTGAAGATAACTAAATCCCACCTCCTTGCATTACCCCTGCAGAGAGAGAGAGAAGGAAGAAGGGTGGGAGTGACAGAGTATACTGTTCCAAAATTCTATTTTCATAAACTCAAGCTAGATTTTAAAGCTTTCCAACTCGGTCCCTTCCTAAGGCAAGTTTCAGCAGAAGCTATCCGAACTAGAAAGGCAATGCTCTCCTAGACTGCAGTGATGTAAAGAGGAGCACTCACTGGAAATCTTGTGACACAGGTATGTTACCTTGGGAGGGTAACAGGAAGCAAACTTGTGAATGGACTTAAAAAAAAAAAAAAAAAAAAAAAAAAAAAACTCGGGACATTGCCAAGAAGAATGCCAATATGGGCTTTAGGATATTGATGGGAACAAACTCAACTTAGCCACTTTGCAGAGTAACTGAGAAACGTGGGAATTAGAGCAAAGAATAATGGGGCAAAGTTTCAAGAAGAGAGAATCGACTGTTGAGCTCAGGAAGATACTTTATAGATAATACCAACAATGTATCTCACACAGGAATCAAGAGCAACATATCCAGAACTTTAGAAATTCTGAACTCATCATCAAAGAAATTATTATCTTCAGCACAGATTCTTTAGTAAAGGAAAATTTCTACCCCATCAGCAAAATTAATATTTAAAAATATTAATTGTGATGATTAATCTCTAACCACAACCCTACCCTTTTTCACCCTGACCTCACTGCACCTTCACTATCCTGACCTAGCCTCTTCCATTTTTCTCTTTATAAGCACTAACACTTATATTTCATAAAATTAAAATGAAACAAAATTTAATTTTTGTTTCTCTGCACAAATTGTACATATTTATAATAAGTTTATAGTTCATAACTTATTGCTGGTATTGTTTATATGAAAACAATTAGTGATGAGATTTATACAGTACTTGCAACTGATAAGAGTAAATTTATCTTTAAAAGCAAAATACTGTACTTTCATGTACATGTCATTATAGATTTGGCACTTCCTGCTACCTGGACACTGATGGTCGAGTAACCTGCAATTGCCGACAAGGTTATCAAGGTCGTCGTTGTGAATTGTGTGCAAGTGGTTATGAGGGCAATCCTAACATTCCAGGGGAAAGTTGCAGGCCAGGTAAGTTTCTTTTAGTAGTTTGATATATTTCTATTTAAATACATATTTACTACATACATATTCATGCATACTGTATGTATACATTCACATACACATATGCACACACTAACACTGTTGTGTATTGTACAATGATACAATACGATGTACTATATTTTATGTACAATAGTGCTGCAAAGTACAAACTTTGGTCAAGTTTAAATTATATACATTACTATAACAGAATGTCTTGTGATACTGTCTTTAGGCTATAGCCAAATTTCTACCTTTTATAATGAATTTGAAAACCTAAATTTAAAATGTTTGTCGTAGAAAAATGTGTGGAGTAAGAGTGTAATTAGTTTTTCGTTATTATGTTTTGGGGTATATTAACAGTATTGGATGTAAAGTTTGATTATCTTGCATTACTTTCATGTTCAAAACATCTCGGAAATATCATTGATGACTGACTTAAGATGTTATCCAGGATATTACAGTATATGTTATTTAAGACTCTATTGTGTGTGAGAATTTAAGACATTAATTAGTTTTAAATTATCTCTGAGGAAGTTATAAAGTTGTGCATATCATCAGGTTGATAAGTAATGCAAGGTAACTCTTTGCTTACAGCATCAGTAAGTTAGTATTAGGCCACTTAATCCTGGTATTCTTTGGAAACCAAGTATACCCCCCACGAAAGAGGAGAGAGGTGGACTTTCTCTGTACAGTATTGCGTTCCTCTATGGTATTCACAGTGTAGTATTGATCAGTGCCCATTCAGACATACTGTACTAAATATTTATGTGCATTTGTAATTGGGTAAATGTGTATTGCTTCATGTAATTGCACAATTCTAATGATAAGAAAATATTTTACAAAACCATATAGAAATATATAATCATTGCAATTATCTGATTTAATTCTAAGTGCTGTATGTCAAAAATGTAATAATAAAATGTATGTATTTTTGTGTGAGAGCAAATATAGGGATGTGGGTTATCAACCGTTTGATCCTGTGTATGTAATTTTTAATAGATTGATTTATAATTATCTGCTGGTTCAGAATGTGGTGCTGAATATGCACAAAAAAGAAAATCTATGACATGAGTTTATATGATGGTTCACTTCTTTCTTCACTCTACATGGAAAGCTGTCTTGGAAAAACACTTTCTCTTTTGCAAATTATTTGGACATTATTTCTTGAATAAGTATTTACATAAATGAAGTATCTTAAAAGCAAATTATATTAATCATAAATGAGTCGGAAGGAAAATGAAAAGCTCCTTTTTCATTAAAATGCTTATCATTAATACTCCCAAAATCAAGACCAATGAAGCTCCTACTGGACAGGATCAATCAGTAAGGTCACGTAACACTGCACCATCAGCACAACAGGGCTTTTTTTACCCACATCCCTTTTAGTTTGTACTGGTACTAGAGAGGCACTAGAGGAAAGCTCAGTCCAGTCTAATGCAACTCGGTAGTACAGTAGGTTGAGGGTCCCGGTAGTACAATCGGGTTCCTTCTTGACGCGCAATCGAGAATTCTGGGTTCGAATCCCGGGTGGGACAGAAATGGTTGAGCACATTTCCTTTCACCTAATGCAGCTGTTCACCTAGCAGTAAGTAAGTACTCAGGAGTTATTTAGCTTGTCTGGGGTTGCATCCTGGGCATAGTCAGTAATTTGGCCTTGGGGGGGGAGTCCTCGATAAAAGCCAAACGCATATGTATACACTCTGACTTCCTGTCCCCTGACACAAAATTAATTATTATAACTACAGAAAATTTTATAATAAAATCACTAAGCTTTTTCAAGCCCTATTTGGTATCACAAAGCACACCAAGCAGTGCTCCTTTGCTACCTGTCTCCTACTTATTAGTGCCAGATGGCAGCACCCATGCCAGCATCTGGTTCCATGACTTGGCCCAGAATATAATGACTTCCATTAAGACCAAACTTGTCCATTTTGGAGCATCTGAGTGTCTTGCTCAATAAAGATTTTCATAATTACTCTGAAAAATAAAGCAAAAGTAACAAAGCAATGAAAGGAAACTGGCCTGAGCTGCAAACTGGAAAATCTCCAGAGTTGCAAGGTCAAGAATGGTTGGAGACGTCAATGAGCTACAACAAGACATCAACAACTCCATCAGGTGAGGAGCATCAAATGTGCAAGAGAGTTGACCAAGTGTGATATTAGCAGTGCAGACGAGGGATCGTGGGAAGACAGACAGTTGTAGATGGTCAGATAGACCTACAAAAATCCTGAGCACAGATGTCAGGAAAAGGTCTTCATTAAGAGGAATACCTGGAGATTGGCAACCTTCTGAAGGTCTTGTGCCTGAGGATACACATGCACTTAGCTCAGTTGTATCACTCTGTTACACAGCTCAAAGAGAGAACAGAGCATCACATTATGAGAATTAAGAACGAAAGACAAACCTTAAGTTCACAGAGAATTCTGGAGAAATCTAAGTAAAGCAGCAATAGAACATAGGGGTATAATGTATTAAATGATGAGCAACCCAAACTTTAAACAATATGTAAGTTCTAATAAAGAAAAATGTTTAGTTTTGCAAAATATTAAGATGAATGGAGACAAGCAAATCTATGACCAAAAGTATCTTAAATCAATATGCTAGATTACAGTTGTATGATACATACTGTACCATATAGTAGTACACTGGTATAATTGTATTCACTATAGGAATGTTAGGGTTAATGACATGTTGTATACAGTACTGTATAGTAGCATACTATATATGATACATCGCTCAAGATATTTATTTATTGCAGAAATAAAACATTTTGTAATTATGGGTTATTTACAGCACTTCAGAATGTATTGGGGTTTGTGCTCATTGTGTGTTACAAGAGATAACACGGGTGTTATGTATTTTGAACCTGGTAGCGGGTGTTGCATCTTTTGTTAATTTATTTGTAATAGTACGTGCAGCTCCTTTGCTGGTCTGATACTGTGTGTATGTTTTTGTTTTTTATTGCTTGTAGTTGTTATGTTGTCAACTTGTGACTGTCTTTTGTGTCTGGTATCATATTATCTTTTAAACTTTCATGTTTTACAACACAAAATGAAGATTTATTAATTTAGGTGCATATTACACACAGAGATCACACTAATGTGATGCATCAAATGAACAAATCAACAAGGGCCGTGATGAGGATTCGAACCTGCGTCCGGGTTCTTATTAATAACTTATTAATAGTTGTTAAATCATCACAAATAATTAATGGAAAACACTTTTCATTATTTTTTGGTGGACAGGATATTTTGTGTGGTCTTTCATCACAAATTTATAAATGTTTAGGGATGATCCAATCAGAAAAAACTACTGTGTTATTGGTAATATGTTTATTCCACTGCAAAAAAAAAATGTTTCACTAAAGCACATGTAATAAATCCAGGTAAGTGTAATGGTTTCCCATTGTCAGGGACAGGGAACCTGATAAGCTTATCTAGGTTCCACTAGCCAATGACTCACCTTGCCCAAAATGTAACCCATAACAGCTGCCTCACTCGTAAATACCTATTTACTGCAGGGCGAACAAAGGAATCAAGTTTAAACAAAAATTCAACATACCCAAATTTCTCTTTCTGCTCGTGAATCAAACCTGGAACAATTCTACTGCCAGCTGACTGCACTGACCATTACAATATGTTCCCCTTTAGATTGTGAATGTTTGTCATACCCAGCCTTTTCAGCTAAATCTAGCATATGAAAAATAGTTGACCTGACTATCAAAAAGTTAATGTCAAGAGTTTGTCTGTCATTGTGATTGTCAACAGAAACTTTCGTAATCATAAACTTCCTTTTCATTTCATATTTATTTATATTGATCTTTAGGATTTAAACTTTAGGAGATATAATAGGAACATTTTATAAATCAAATCAAATCAAATCAAATCAAATGTTTATTTAGTTAAGGTACATACATACAAGAGATTTTACAAAGAGTGATGGAATTATAGATGGGGCTAGTACATACAATGCCTAAAGCCACTATAACGCAAAGCGTTTCGGGCATGAAAAACTTAAATGACTAAAGCTTAATACTAATTGAGCATAAAGAGTAAAATGAAAACATGGAATGAAAACATAGCTGAAAAAGCAGCACAAATACAATTCTGTCGACAAACAGCGCTCTTTAAAAAAAACAGACATTGGTTGACAATAGAGGGGTAAGGTAGGTTACAGGAAATTTATTAGGTATAGCTTCGTTTTTATCTTAAACTAGTTGAGAGAGGTACAGTCTTTAACATGGTTGGGAAGGTCATTCCACAATCTGGGTCCCTTGATTTGTAGAGCATTTCTAGTTTGATTAAGTCGTACTCTAGGAATATCAAAACTGTATTTATTTCTGGTGTGGTGCTCATGGGTTCTGTTACAACCTTCAATGAAGCTTTTGAGGTCAGGATTGGCATTACAGTTTAGCATTTTATTTATGTATAATACACATGAGAGAATGTGCAGTGACTTAATGTCTAACATATTCAGAGATTTGAGTAGGGGTACCGAGTGATGTCTGGGGCCAGAGTTGGATATTGTCCTAATAGCAGCTTTGTGTTGAGTAATTAGAGGACATAAATGATTTTGGGTAGTAGAGCCCCAAGCACAAATACCATAGTTGAGATATGGATAGATAAGGGAGTAATAGAGAGTCACCAGGGCAGGGCGGGGTACATAATATCTGATCTTAGAAAGAATGCCAACAGTTTTTGAAACTTTTTTTTATATATTTAGAATGTGTCCCTGGAAATTCAGCTTGTGGTCAATGAGAATGCCAAGGAATTTGCCATCTAATTTGTTACAAATTTGGGTATTGTTTATTTTGAGATTTATTTGATTAGAAGATTTATTGCCAAACAGAATATAGAAAGTTTTGTCAATGTTAAGGGTGAGTGAGGAAATTAATGAAAAAATATTCAAAGAAGTAATTGAAAAATTATTACTTTGGTACCTGTCTCTCATATCACTCTTGAGCCATGATGTATGATTGTTAACGGTAAACAAAAAATTATAAAGAATTCGTCCTAAAGTAAGGCTGAATGTGGATTCAAAGATCTATTGATTTCTTTCCAAAAGAAATTAATCCACCTATACTTTGTATTGTGACTTCAATATCATTGCAAATGTCTGTCGTTATACTGAAATACATATAAATAAATAAAAAATTCTTAAATGGTTTTGATTGATGAGCGTGGTATGGAATTGGAGAAAAATTTCCATTGTATGCTTTACATTAGGCCTATTTTATATTTTTTAATATACATTGTATTTTGTAATCCACAACATACTCAAAGCGAGTGATCAGCTAAATTTAATTTTCATTAATGCTGTAATGTTATTTTTATTTTATAAAATGTAGTGCCTCCTTCATGTGAGTGGTATGAGTTCATTTGTGTTGATATGTCACGCTGCGTCCACAAGGATAAACGATGTGATCTCGTCCAAGACTGCCCTGATGGTTCTGATGAGGATTTTTGTGGTTAGTCCCATATGTATGGAAATTTTAACTTGGTTGATTCATTTACAGGTACAAAAATCAATTGGAAAATTTTCTGAAAGGAACTTGCATTGTATTCTCAAACATTTCAATTATTCTTACACTTTCTATATACTTTTGATTTTGAATACAGTAATGCTTTTTCTATTATGCATTTTGGTGTTGGTGAACCAGCTAAATAGTAGAGGAATCATATGGATAATTTTTTAACCCATTTTGCATGAAAAACATAATGCATGTACTATTCTAATGTTTCTGAGCTTTTTCCACTTGGTCTCTACCTTAGGCAAGTGTCCAGCTCTCTGATACACATTGTCAAATTCTACCCTAATCAGTGTGACCATCACATCTCCGACACATCTTACCAAGCTATCCTCGCAAGCCAATGCATGGAGTATTCTTAATATAATCCAGAATCACAATCTGAAAGCTCATTCAACTATTCTCAAAACACTTTGTCCAAGTAACACTGCTTCAAACAGATTGCCAAGTAATGTTCTACTAACTACTAGATGGATACTGGGTAGCTATCCCAGCATGATACCAGATGTCATTACCTATACTGGCAGCAAAGGAACCTGGAAAATGTCACCTCAATTTTAGTCGGAAACACTCCGTCGAATTCGTCAACCGCTGAGAATCAATGACTAAATTAAATCTAGTTCTTAGTTCTTCAAATGACTCGAGTCTTTTGTGCACCGTGCTTGTGCTATGCCATGAACTCTTACTTGGGCATGTTTATGCCTTCTCTTGTGTATCTTATGAGGATATACCAGTAGGCTAGCATTGAATAGTTATCTACTGTGTGTTACCTTGGTGGTGCCTTTAGCTGAAGTTTTCCTATTGAGTGGATCCTGACTTTTTGCAGTTCCAAGCACAAATTCTAAACATGAGCTTGTTTGTCAATATCATTTTCCTTACATGCATGTGTGTTCTTTCATTCCACCAGGTCTTACTTCATGTTATTTTTCTGTCATTGACAAGGTTAGATTTTGTAATACCGAGACCACTTGTCTTGCAATCAGATATCCACTTCAAGGCTTTGTTCTGTGGCAGCTTTCATGGATTCTATTCATGAATAGAATTAGGTTTCCTAACTTAGGGCTTCATTTTCTTTGAAACCTACTGTTTTGGGGTATTAACTTCAGCAGTATTTTTCTTATTTGTAATTTGTTCACCTGGGATGCTTGCTTGGTCATGTCCTAGAATTGAGCCCCATCCTGTTTGGATGTAACATCGCTGTGAATACTTGTTCCATTTGCATTTCTGATACTTGAAATATCTTGTTCTCCATAGCCATTTACTCTGGTATTTCATGCAATTGAACACTGTTTTTTTGAGGTGTTTGCTTGAGTGAGCCACCCATGGATTGAGCCTCTTCCTATTTTGGTCAATTGCATCACTGTGGATAACTTTCCATAGGCAATAGCTTAATATTTTTTTTTTTGCCTTGGAATTGTGCTTCAACCAATTTTAATCAGTTATGGCATGGTATTTTCGTTTTCTCTTGGTGCATTTGCTTTGGCATTGTGCCCTGGGTTTGAGCCTTCGACTGTTGGATTCAGTTTCAGCACTGAGAGTTCTCTAATAAGTATGTTCCTATACCTTTGTAATCTGCACTCCTGGGGGTGTATCACCATGGAATTGAGCCTCTACTTGTTTAGGTTGGTTTCACCCTGGGATTGACCCCTCTGCCTTTCTGATTCAGTTAGAGTACTAGGTATATTCATATTTTCTTACGGTCCCATTTTTATACCCATTATTATCCCCTTCTTACTCCCTTTTATTACACCTATCCCATCCATACCTTTTGCCTTGCTCTTGCCTTCCTCTAGGAATTTGCTCCTCCTCACTTCTCTCCAATGCTCTCTTGTCTTACTCAGTGCCCTTGCCTCCCTCGCTCCCATCACATTCGACTTGATAATGGTCCAGGACAGACCGAAACATTGTCGTCCAACCTGTCCTCTTAAAAAGAACGTTGCATTTGGCCGTTTGCCCGTATGCCCGAATATGGACGTAATTTGAAAATGAATAAAAAATTAAATAAATTTGGGATTTTTTTTTGCAACAACAGTAAGTTAAGGGTCCTCTGATAGATTAGGTGGGCAGGAAATTCTCATAAAGTTTCAAAACGTTATGAAAAACGTTAATGGAAAGTTTCCTTTTCTAAGCTTGCCGAGTAAGCCCAACGACTCAAACAGAAAACGGAACAGTACGTCACTTTTGTGAGTCGATTTCATTTCAAATTACGTCCAAATTTGGCCATAGCGCGCATACGAGCGAAAGGTGACGTTATTTTTAAAAGGACGGGTTGCGTCGTCTCCTCATCTTCTGTTGTGTGGTTTAGTCTTCAGGTATATTCACTTTGTTCTGGACCTGTTTTGTGCCCTTTGGTGTGTTAACTTTCATGGTCTCAGTAGTTTTGAGCCCTCACCTGTTTCAATACTGTTCCTGTGCCGAGTCTTGTTGCTCTAGAGATATTTGTGCCTAGGGTTCAATTTAGTACTCTGCCATCCTTGAAGCTCTTCAAGGTTAATAATTATCTCTTTGCTGCCGTTTTGGAGCTGCAGGTTTTCGTAACCCAAGAATATGGTTTTGAGTGTAAATGAAAGGTTACTTTCCAAGTGTCCTACTCAGTCGTTTCGTATATTCCCTTTTTGTCTTGACTTAATATGTGCCTATATGGGGTAGAGCTGGGATGGAAGTGATGTGATGTTCTCCAGGCTCTTCTTTTGTCAGTAAGAGTAGTGGCATATTGTGGAGGGTTGCAGTAGTTTCCTGGTAGTTACATAACATTTAGCAGAACACTGCTTGATGGTCTCTTCAAAGCCAAGTATTGGCTGAAGGAGGTTTTTTTGAGTCATTCTGGACTGGACTGTGAAATCTCTTGTTCCTCCTTACCTCTATTCATTGCCTAGTGTGAATTGCTAGATAAAGATTCAAACTGTAGTGGAGATTTGAAGGTCATACTAACGAGGCTGGATATTTGCTATGCTCAAGGAAGAGCAAGACACTTACCTAAGAAAGCAGTCGAGTGGCTTACTCTGATAGTTTTTTGTGTTGACTGAAAGCTTTATTTTTCTTAGAATTATTATTTCTGGAAGGGCCACTTCTTTAACTTAGCTATAGCACCTGGACTGCCAAGCATTATGCAATCATGCCAGGCCTCTTTGAGACCCACCCAATCGTACCTAGGGCCAGGACCAGAATACGGCTGTCTATACTAAGTAAAGGGAGTTTGGGGATCAAAGATGCGTCCAAAATTAAGAAAAACCTACCAGAATGTACAAGTTTAGTAGCCAGCTTTGGTTTGGGTCAACTGGCAATAATCTTAGCTACTGCTTGGTCTGGTATGTTAGAAAGGCATTTTCCCCCTCTACCCTTATGCCCCTGTAAGCCCGGCTGCAGCTTGGCCTCTGTGACTAGCTGGTGCTGGAGATGTCTCAGCTTTACCTTCAGGAACTTGGGCAGGCAGCTTGAACTTGTCTGCATAGTGTGCCTGCTGGGAGCATGGCTCTCTGAAAGTGTTTTACAGTTTTCTTTGGTGGCATCTTTTCACCACAGTACGATTCCATAGGGCTTGTCAGTCCCGGTTCTATGAAGCTACTGGGTGGCTCCTAATAAAACTTATAGTTCACATACAGTATAATAAAGGTGAAATTAATGTGCAAAAAAAATGCAAAGATAATAACTGAAATACAGTAAATAAATTATATTTTGGTAGCAGTCTTTCTTTTAAACGTATTTCGTTGAAAACGACAAAAGTTTTAGATTTATGATTCTGGCACAAATCTTCTCGATATTCCTTATGTTTTTCTTCACTGAAGCAGGAAGATTAAAAATTAACTCTCCAAAGTTCATTTCTACTTATTATATGGGTGTGACGCCTAGTGATGCATTTCGTAAGGTCTCTCCTCACATTCTCAGACAAATTCTTCTGTGTTAGCACCTGATTATATCCTCTAATGGTGAGGTGGTAGGTGGTATAGTTTGCATAAAATCAAGAGATATTTGTTCTTAAGTGATGATAAAACAGTTTTCTCATCTTAGAGCTTTAGTCAAAACCCTTCCTTTCCATTATGATTAAGTAGAGTAGTTACAGTTGGCCTTCTGCTTGTATGTTTAACAGTAGATAATAGTTGTAGTATACAGTACTGTATAAAGCTTGGTTTTATGCTTAGATTAGTAGAGATATAGTAATATTGACTAAAATGCTTTTTTAACAATTATTATTAATTATTAATTTTGTATATTGACTGTCCTTACCTTGAAAAGAGCCTGTTACCTGCATGACCACCTTCACTTGCTCTGATGGTTCTGTTCACCCATGGTCTCGCCGTTGTGATGGCATCAAAGATTGCACAGGTTATGAAGATGAAAGTGAATGTGATGGTAAGAATACTTATTAGTTTGTGTGATTTGTATTTGTATTTTTAAATCAAAGCAACAAGTGGATCTCAATTTTTAAATAGCCTTATTATCACTTTTTGTTCTACATCACTCTCCATCAATCATTGTCATCTATAATTATCATCATAGCTTCATCACTGTAGTTTTAGGATGTATGTTGTTCTAAGAACTAAAGGACTTCAGAATGATATACTAGGTTTGCTTCAAACTTCAATAATGAATGTGAGAGCAAAATTATATTAGCCTCATTTTTTTTAGGATATGTATATGACAGTGTGTACTGTCATCTGTATGGTAAGCAATTGGCAGATCTTCTTGTCATATTTCTTTCTTCTGTATGACAGTATATGGCTACTTTGCATCCGTTCTGTCACTTTTCCCTCTCCCCTCTCTGGGGTCATGTTTGTGCCTGTGGTTTTCTCTCTTCTCATCTAGTGCTTTATGAACTGTATAATATTGTTCATGCCATATAATATTGCCTCTTTTGTTCAGCTGTGGCAGGACCTCTTTTGTTGGCATTCAGTGTGAATGTTTCTAATTAAACGTGTCTTGATTTTTCTTTCACCTCAAGCTAGCTTGTTTTGCTCTAATGTCATCTTTGTCTCTGGATTGGTTTTTGGTGCGCTATTAATTTTAGCATTTTTCCTTCCATCCGTGATGTCTTTCTAAAGACATTATGTTGGCATTATGTTGGCTCTTGCTTTTTGCTGTTAGTTCACAGAGCTTCATGCTCTCCTCCGTACGTCGCTATTTTGTTTGGTTCTAGGGGGCTGCTTTCTGCAGCACCAGGTGTCACCTTCATTTCTTGTTAAGAATGAGACTCTTGGATTGTGAAGGGGTTCTTTGGTCACTGATTCTTTGCCCCGCTGGCTGGGGGGTTTATCATGTTCTGCATCAGATGATGACAGTTGACTATTGCCTTCATGTCATCTGTGAGGCTTACGTGGAATCCTTGTTTGTGAATCTAGTAATTACGCAAGTGTATTTATAGGATGAGAGCTTCTCTCATGTTGTCTTGTCTTTCCTATAATCTTTGTCACATGAGGCTTTGAAACTACTGATGGTTTTTTGCATCTAAACAAAGCTGTCTTAGAAATATAAGAAAATTCAATTTCGCAAACAGAGTAGTAGACGGTTAGAACAAGTTAGGTGAGAAAGTGGTTGAGGCCAAACCCATCAGTGGTCAATGCATTTTATGACAAAGAATGCTTGGAAGACAGAACATAACGAGTGTAGCTCTCATCCTGTAATTACACTTAGGAAATTAACAGTTAGGTAATTACTTAAATGGTTTCAATTGTCCACATCTCAGTTTGTAAATGAGAACTTTTGTTATATTTTCTGTGCGGAGCCCCATCGGCTCCCTAGAGTTGACGGACTTATATATGCTGTGTTAGTCCGATAGCTCCAGGGAGTCTCCGGGGCTCACCCAGAAAATTATATTCACTGGTTTGTTGGTGCAATTATTTCCTGAGCTTGAATCTTTGGCCTCTTGTTTTTGAAGTTGCACTTTCCAACAATTTCTACTTATCAACAGTGTTGATTCCTGTCACTATTTTGTATGTAAAGTACTTATGTATATATAATACACAAAGTATTAATTTATTCAAAGTATGTTATACAAAATAATGTCATGCCTTAATAGTGTGTGTGTCTGATATATATATAGTAGAATAGCAGACATATGGAGGTATTTTCTTTTGACATATAATTTAGTGTCAATTTATTCTTTAGTTTTGCTTTGAGTTTCATCTGTGCCATTATTCCTTTAAGACTTAATTTTGTATCCTCAAGTTATTTTGTAACTGCATGTGTAATTCATTTGCATATTGTAAATTTTTTATATTAATTCATGGCTTATATAACAAAATACTAATATTTTCACCTAAATTAGTGCATGTTCGATAACATTTTCTACTTGCAAATTTGCATCATAATGTGAATCTTATGTGCCATTATTACTACTACTAACTATAATATGGGGTAGGATGCATGGCTTAAGGGCTTTATGATGTGACTTGCCCACAGTGTGCTTCAATAGTGGGCATAAGTGTGGGGACCGCCGCTGTGTTAATTTTGCACGTATTTGTGATGACCATGCCGACTGCACTGATCATAGTGATGAACTTCCACACAACTGCTTGGGTGTGTAGAATTTTGCATTTACTTTTTTTTTTTATCAACAATTGTTATGAACATAAATTTTTTTAAAGAAATGGAGCTAAATCACAGTTCATGACAATTGATTAAAAAATTATTAAAATATCAAAGCATCTAAAAACATATTTTGCTTTTTGGTCATATATATATATATATATATATATATATATATATATATATATATGCAACAAATTTCTTATGTACTCTTGACCTTTGATATCGTTTTGAGTTGACTACTATGCTTAAACCTTTGGTGAATCGATATCTAAATTAACATAAATGATAGCAAGTAGTTGTACTGTAATGTTCTTAAAAGAAATATACAAATTTGACATTTATAACATCACTAACAGACTAACATAAATTATTTGTTGTATTAACATTTCTTTGTTGGATTCAAAATCTGAGCGTATATAATAGCAAAGTTTTCAGTAGAACATGAATATACTAAAGATTGTGTGTAATGCTGTTTTATAAAACTAACCCAAACTAATATTAGTATATTTTCTGTTTTTATTGTCATGTAGATAAACTTCCCTGTGATCACATACACTACTGGACTTGTGCGGATCCTAGTCATACTTGCATCGAGAGAAGTCGTCACTGTGATGGAATATATGACTGTCCTGATCATTCTGATGAGCGTTACTGCAATTGCACTTGTGATGAGCCTTTCCATTTCAAATGTAATGATGGTATCTGCCTTGATGCAAGGGTTCGTTGTAATTCACAGACTGACTGTTCTGATGGGTCAGATGAAATTGGATGTTCTTGTAATGTAAACACCCAGCATACCTGTGGAGACGGATTCTGTATAGACCTTCAGAGAGTATGCGATGGTCAGATTGACTGTCAAGATGCAAGTGATGAGCCAGCAGAGTGCAATCCAAATTGTGACCCCATTAATATGCACGAATGTGGAGATAGAACATGTATAGACATTAGGCGAGTATGTGATGGTACAGTTGACTGTAGAGATTACAGTGATGAACCATCCAGCTGTTCTCCTATTTGTAATTCACAGCATCAATTTATGTGTAGAAACAGGGAATGCATCGACTTGAGGCTCAAATGCAATGGCTTCAGTGACTGCAGTGATGGGAGTGATGAATATTCTTGCCCAACTTGTAATCAATATCAATTCCAATGTGGCGATGGATCTTGTATTGATCGCCAGCAACTCTGTGATGGCAGGGCTGACTGCAATGACCAAAGCGATGAAAAAGAACAAGCTGGATGTTGTGTTCCACCATACTTTTTCCAGTGCTATGATGGCGCATGCATTGATGCACGTCGTGTCTGCGACAGATATCGTGATTGTAATGATGGTTCAGATGAATATGAATGCAGTAAGTTCACTACAAATTTAATACAGTACTAGGAAATATTGCCATAAGTTTATGCTTCGTTCCAACGTTAATGAATCGTTATAAATATTACTTTTACTTAACAAACATGTGGGAAAGTAATTAGGTTTCTTATCCATTTGTGGATGTAGTTGACTGAAGTATTTGCTTTCATAGCATTAAAGTTGTTTTGATCATAAAAAAGAATGTGAGCTATTTATAGTGTTGTGTGTTCG